TGCGATGATGTTCCCAGGTTCCCCTGCCTACCCCGACCCCAATGTTTCCACAAACCTGTTTTTTGTGCAGCAAGAAGTACTCTGTGTGGTAGATGTGGTTGTTTTCAGGATCTTCCACCCAGATCCAAAATGGCTCCGCTGTTCCACCGTGAACCTTTAGAAGAAAGGACATTGGAATGTCTCAGGTACTCTTGATATTTAATGTATTTTAAAATAGTCTACTTTGACAACTATTTATTTACATTGAAGGTTAATTTACTATAAGATTTATGATCTTGGATGATTTTATCAAACTATTTTCTATTTACTGGAGATTTTTAATGAATTTTTTCTCAACCAAGACAAAAACATATTGCTCTAAAGGAAATACCAAAAGTAGGCAATGTATAGAACTGATGAGGTTGAATGGAATAAGAAAAGCTCAAAGTAGACAAACCATAGACCTGATAAGCTTGGATGGAATAACATAATACTAATAGCTTGAACAGCAGTACAATCTGTTTACCTTGTCATCCCATTTGAAGTCTGGAGTGATCTCAAGATTGACTTTGAGCACAGTGCGTGTGATTGGCTGGATAGAGGCGTCCAAGGTCAAGTTGGGGATCTGATGGACACACCTCTTGATGATAGGACCCATCTTGTCATGGGTCACCATCCGACCTAGATACACAAGTCAAATGCATATATAGGAGAGTGCAGTACACACCATTAGTTGTTCTGAAATTGCAGCATTTTAAAATATGTTCCTTTCATGTTAGAGACCAATGGAATGTGATTTTCTGGTTTCGGCCAAAGCCAAAACCAATCAAAAAGTTAAAAATTACTTTTGGCCTAAACCAAAACCAAAAGTTTAATGAGTAGGTATTTCAAAACTCGTTTGTGCAAAAATGAAGGAAAACTTCTGCAGCCATTTAACAATTATCGCTACTGTGACCTCGTATTTTTGCGTTTTACATCATACTTTTCTAATAATCATTAATTTTGTCATCGATGATGTAAAATATTGCATTACAGTGATGCTCATACACTTTACCCGATGAGATATTTAAACAAAAATAACAATGGAAATTTTACCATTCCCTTGGATTTTTTTTCTCACAATTCTATTGACCTTTCCCTGAGACAATAATTACGAGCATGATAGTGATAAATCAAAATGAATGTCATGAATGAAAGATTGCATAAACCTGGGGTTCACAAAGTTTATCTAAAAAAAAATTAAAACAAAAATAAGATTAGAGATATTACCATTCCCTTAGATGTTTTTTTGTTGTTGTTTTTTCGAATTTAGATAAATCCATTTTTGAATTAATATATCTCCAACTTATTTACAGTACATGTGCTTTTGGTAACCTTATTGCTAATTGCCATGGTAAATATTTGATAACTACCTCAGAATCTTGATAAATAGGACACATTTTTTAAAAATATTTTACATTCCAACAGTTGCAATTTTTTTTTATAATTAATTTCCTGTCAGTAAATTAAAATCTCTTTACCAAATGAAAGGAAGTATGTCAATATACAACTAGTTTACTATGAAACAAACATTGACGCTGTGAGCGATTCGTGGATAGGAGGAAAGGAATGTAAGGCACCACCATTGTATTGTATTGAATACTTATATAGCGCTTGTATCCATGCTACTTTAGCATGCTCACAGCGCTCTGATGTTCTTAAATCTGTTTAAAGAAAAAAGTCTTTAAATGTTTCTTAAATTATTTTTTTATCATTTTCAATTGCCCTCAAAGACTGATGCAAACTGCTCCATAATTTCAGCGCTATTGCTTCAAAAGAGCGCACTCCGTATGACTTCTTTCTGTGTCCATTCACACTGGGAACTCTCAGTAAAGACTGTGTTGAAGAGCGCAGGTTCTTTAAGGATACGTGTCTAGAAATGAGTTCTTTAAGATATTCCGGTGCAGATCCTACTATACAGCTGCACGCCAGGGACAGAATTTTGTGGTCAATGTGCTCACTCACAGGAAGCCAATAGACATCTCTAAGAACTGGGTTGATGTGGTCAGATTTCTTTATCCGCTATACAATGTGTGCTGCAGTATTTTGTACCTTCTGGAGTTTCTGACTTGGTTCTGAGGTAAATCCCACAAACAACTTTTACAGTAATCTAATCTTGATTGGATTATAGTTACTGCAACGGCATTGGCTGTTCTCTTATTAAGCAGAGGATGAAGCTGACCCAGGGTGCGCAGATGACAAAAGCAAGCCCTGACCACAGAACTGATATGGGGAATCATTGTAAGTTGACTGTCAGTATAAAAGGAAAGGTTTATGGTAGTTAACCAATAAAGTATTAATCATACTACCCAAACTTCTACCACCTGTTAATTTGGTCTTCAGTTAATACAAAATAGAATGATTTTAAAGTCTTCCCACCTATTTCTTTGGAGTCCATTTCCCTCAGCCTCTCTGGCAGCAGACGCTTGTTCTCAAGTTTGGTCAGTATTTCTGGTGATAAAATATTGAACTGCCTCAGTGGGTTCTCAAATGTCCAGAGTCTCTTGTCAACCATTTTACACATCTCTAAAAGCCTGGAGGCCAGAATCGGGTTGTCTTTTTTCAAGGCAATATCAAACAGAGCTCGCATAATGCGGCCAGCATTCTGAAAAAGAGATAGATTTTTATTTAGAGATATACCAATAACTCAGCTTTAATTGTAAAGGAGAGTTATTGGTATAGCTCTAAATAAGTTTATCATGTACAGATACTAGTCTGTGAAATGATGTAAAAATCAATCAAGTACTGTGGTACAGTTCATGGCAAGAGAATAAATTACTCTCTATTATTAACCACTCAAATAATGAAAGTACATGAAACCTGAATTTAGAGTCTATTAAATTTAATTAACTATTTATTATTCATATTTACACTATTTGTTTAAAAGTTGTCTCAAGAGTTGATTTTGTAATTAACTCCAGCTAAAAAAGAAAGTTAACATATTCCACTTCCCATGGACAACGTAGGCCATATCAGACACCAGAGAAAATGAGTCCACTGACTGACGAGACACATATGACTGAAATAATGTTAACATCTTCCACTTACCTGGGCAACGTAGGCCATATCAGACACCAGAGAAAATGAGTCCACTGACTGACGAGACACATATGACTGAAATAAAGTTAACATATTCCACTTCCCATGGACAATGTAGGCCATATCAGACACCAGAGAAAATGAGTCCACTGACTGACGAGACACATATGACTGAAATAAAGTTAACATCTTCCACTTCCCATGGACAAAGTAGGCCATATCAGACACCAGAGAAAATGAGTCCACTGACTGACGAGACACATATGACTGAAATAAAGTTAACATCTTCCACTTACCTGGGCAACGTAGGCCATATCACACACCAGAGAAAATGAGTCCACTGACTGACGAGACACATATGACTGAAATAAAGTTAACATATTCCACTTCCCATGGACAAAGTAGGCCATATCAGACACCAGAGAAAATGAGTACACTGACTGACGAGACACATATGACTGAAATAATGTTAACATCTTCCACTTACCTGGGCAACGTAGGCCATATCAGACACCAGAGAAAATGAGTCCACTGACTGACGAGACACATATGACTGAAATAAAGTTAACATCTTCCACTTACCTGGGCAACGTAGGCCATATCAGACACCAAAGAAAATGAGTCCACTGACTGACGAGACACATATGACTGGAGGAGAATGTTCACTTTCCCATGGGTGTTCTCCTTTCCTCCAGCCACTATCATCTCACAACCGTCACTGGTCAGTCGGTCAAGCTCATCCATTTCATCGTCTCTGACCTGAAGAGATACAAATCACAATCAACTTTGAAAATACCCTTTCCATTACTCATCTTGATATAGTGTTAATGGCTTAAAGACATAAAAATATTGAACAGTTGCAAAAAAATATAAGTTGCATAAATTTATACAAAATTTAAATACATTTTAAATTTTTTTCAAATTTAAATAATTTTATACATTATCTTTACGCATTTATATTTTGATTTATTAGCAGATTGATAACTTTTTTTTTTCTTTTACACTTCAAAGTCAAGAGGCATGGAATTATTATTTAGACTAGAAAATACTCCACATTATTTTAATCTCTGCAATGAATAGGTGAACTTATTCATGGCTACGACTTGAGAACCTTATGCCATAACTTAATCCACTTCTGAATTAAGCTGTTTAATCTGTGTTCAAGAAAGAAAAACGACGAACTGTGATGGAATAAGGCTTAGCCATAAAAGTTTTTACGTGATAATAATTGTTTAGAGTAGAGTAGAGTAAGTGCTTGATCTTTAAATTGATAACATCTAACAGATGCGCTGTAATAAGAGTTGGCTGTCACAATTAACAGGGTACATCTACCAGATGCTTTTAAGTGTAAGAGAACTTAGGTCTCACAGATAACAGGGTACATCTAATGTATAGCATTAAGAAGACGCCACACCAACCTTGATTTGTTGAAACTCCTGAGCATTTGATACAAGGTTGAGAATGTCAGCCTCCGTCATGACATTCTTCAACATCTCATTGATTGTCTAACATGGGGCATGAAAAAAACAAAATTATAGGAGGTATTAGAAAGGTTAAACATCCCATCAGAAATGCAGTAATGAAATCATTCATGTGTCTTCGGCCATATTATATGTTTGTTGGACATTTGTATGTTTCAGTTTTCAAAATGAAAACTCTAGGATATACATTAAATAATTTATTGAGATAACATTTTTTAATGAAGTTAAAATGTAATCAGTTTTTAAATATTAGGTGTTTGTGTCTGATCATTTACTGGTATTGTATTTTTCTCTCTCTAATGATCATGCCGCAGCATAAGAAATATTTTAATGTGATGTGATTGCCACGGCACATATTTAAACTGAATATTATTCTGAGGATGAAAGAAAAGAATTAACTAGTTCAGAAGTTTCTAGCCCGCATGTACCCACCTCAACAGTGTCATATTTAATATAGAAATTGCTGGCAGTGCGGCCAAGGTGAGTGCTGGCCATGTACTGAGTGCGCTCCTCAAACCTGATCATCATGGCTTTATCAAGCCGCCTGGCTGCATCAATGACTAGAGATTTTCTGTACGACTCTAAATAAGGATCGTCCTAAATAATAAATTATAAATGGTACATTTAGTTGGTATTTCTGGGCACATTCATACTGTGTGAAATTTGTAGAGACAAAATGTTTATAGATCATGGCAAATGAAAGCCTGGTTCCAAACAGGTTCACTTAAATGGCATTCCAATCACTGTCACCGCCCAACTTAACCACCACAACTGGAGTTTGATTATTAAATACATTATTGATACAGTATTTTATTCATCACTGCTTTAGAACTAATACTCCCATGAAACCCTAGGATAAGAAAACTTTCAAGAGAGTGTACCTCCGAGTAATTGTATGGAATTCCATAAACCAAAGGGTTTTTCCTCATACGGACAAAGAGGTAAGTGTAACTCATCCACCTGACAGCCTCGTCAACATTTGTCACAGTGCCGAGGGAAATCTGAAATAATCAGGTCATAAACTTATAGCTTCACTGTTCAGAAGAGTTTATTTTTATTCAAAAGGTCTATTTTTATTATCTGAGGCAGCTGAAAAAAGATAACTTTGTATATCCAGGCTATAATATCATGTTAATAATATCCTATTCAATTGTACATTTTATTCCTATTTGGCAAGGACACTACCACTCATTTGCTTACCTAATCCACCTGATGTTCAACATTTTCATTGATTAAGTTATTAACTTGTTAAAATATTATTTTTTCCAGAAGAATTGACCTTCCATTAACTTTTTTATACTTATCAGATTTTAGAGCCTTTTGTTTATGTTTAAGACAATAGAGTGTCCTAGAATATCTTAGCCAGCTCCATAGGTCAAAAACTGAAATTGTGGATCAAGAAGACACTTACTTCAGCATTGAGGTTGTCAATCAGGCTGTTAATGAACTGACTCTCGATGGGGTTCTGGCGAGTCATGAGACTCAAGTAGTGGCTCAACTTGTCATGGCTGGTGATGATGGTGCCATGTCCAAACGTATCAAACTGAGGCCGACCTGCACGTCCAAAAATTTGCATAACATCCAGAATGCCAAGGTCCACAAAGGAGCCCCTCTTTGCATCATAGATTTGAGTACCCTGTTTAACAGAAAACTTCTTTTTAAAATAACCAAGAGCATGGCATCTTCAAATGAAAAGACAAAGTTGTCTCCTTTTCTATTCTGAAGAATAAAATAAAATTACAGCATAGGGTGTGCATTACTGATATGTTAAGGTTAGTATAAAAACGCTTCATGATCTGATGCAATGCTGCTGCCAAATACTCTCCAACCTACCTTGATGATGACTGCATGTGCAGGGAGATTGACACCCCAGGCAAGTGTGGCTGTGCAGACCAGCACCTTGATGTGACCCTCAGAGAAGTAACGTTCTACAAGGTTACGGTCCTGCCTCAGCATCCCAGCGTGATGAATGCCGAAACCTTCAGCAAACATTTCTCGGAGTTGCTTATTCCGGCTTTTTGATATCTACAGAAGGAAAAGATTAGGTTTCTGTTACAATGTAAGCAAAACCTTCATTAGGTTTTACAGGCTCATTACCACACTATTTATTTTGTAACTAATAGACTTGCCTTGATTTTTTTTGTTCTGCTGCAAACAAGGAAATATTCCCTCTATTTTTGGCCAGGTCTATCAAGGTGAAGGCTGTACGCACTGTTTCATTTCTTGCATGCACAAACACCATTACCTTAGAAATGCATAGAATGTATAACACTTTTAATTTGCACCAAATAAGATTAAAGGGCCCAGTTAAATCTAAAAAAGTTGAAAGCAACTACAACTATATTGCCAATTGAGTTATAAAATATTTGTCATTTCTCAAAGCACCATCCTTAACTTTTGACTATCCAAAACTATAAAATTTTATAGCCCTCCAACTGTTTTATGTGCATTTTGTTTAATTTTTCGGTGAAACAAATTATTCCCCAAAAGAAAATGCCACAAAAAAAAAAAATTCCAGAGGATTATCCCTCACTTGACGATAGTGCGTACCGTACAAAAATTCATCACATTTTGTGTGTGTAGGTTTGCTGCAAGAAGCAAAACTAAAAAACAAAGAATATTGGTGAGCCAGACTCAATGTAATACAAATTTAATATATAAGGGAAATCGCTGCCTATGGAATGAAACAATAGGTCCATGTTCTAAATAGAATATTATAGAGCCCATATTTTAATTCTAGGTTGAAGGCACAGTATTGCTTTTGAATTTACTACTGTCTACACATGCATCTACTGTGTTTGAAATTTCAAATAGTAATGTCCATTTTAAGAGAATCACCTCTTATAAATGTATCAAACACACTATAAAAATATTTTATTTTGAGTTGCTAAATTCCCAAATCAACTCAGTGATATACAATGGGGTGAAACAAAACAAAAAAAAAGAAAAAAAGATGTCTGTGTTCACCTGATAGCCCTCACGAACTTGTTTGAGAACCTTGTCATAGCATATAGTGTTGAAGTCGTTGAGTTGCTTCATCTTGTTGACAGACTTGACACCTGTTTCAATAAGATAGGAGTTGCTACTATAATAGCCGTTAAATGAGATTTAAATAAAGAGATATTTTGGGAATAAGCAAGGACTTTATTTCAAAAATCTTTATTAAGGAAATACACACTTATTTACCAGGAGTTTGAAACACAAGTATACTAGCAAAGAGGCTAATGGTAATGACATAATTTTTCAAAGGCCTATGACAAATTTAATTTATAAAGTGACATTTAAAAGAAACATGCATAAACTTCAATCAGCAATAAAAATTAGCTATTTTTGTGCAGAACAAAAAAGTCCTTTTTTTTTTTTAGAACTAGTTAATTATGAGATTACCAATAAATGTCTGGCTAAGAGGCACTGGTCTAAATCTGCCATCAAAGAAGAACAAGCCAGTGTATGGGTTTACATTCAAGAAGGTCGCAACATCTGGGTAATTTGGCAACGTGGCAGACAAACCTACGATCCTGATCATGCTCTGGGTGCTCTCCACCTGTCGGCCAACAGAATACGCTATTTTGGTGTTGGTTCAGATTTCAATTTTTAAAACGACATTTACACTTTAGAAATGAAACATGGTATCCTGTCTAATTATTTTGTTTAATTGAGCACTGATATTCTAGTGACCACTCTTAAATTTTATTACAAATATGTCTGTAACTACATTTAAAATGTTCAGATAAATACTTATTGTAATTTTGTTAGCCAAGCTTTCAGAAAGCTAACAACTAGTCATCATAAGTATCCATGCACATCATAATGCATACATCTTTGAAATGTGCTATTATTATATTGAAGGTGACATAAAATAAATGTCATTTGTTATAAATTTAAAATAAAAACATTTTTAAAAGAGGGCGGTTTGGGGGGGGGGGGATAAACATCTTGACAGATGCACAGATGCAAAATGAAGTGACATGACCCAAAGCTGCAATAGCACGGGTATAGTGGATAAACTGTTTGAACTTACTTGTCTCTTTGTTCTTGCAACAAGTGTCTCAATGACTGGCCCCCTGTCATCGTGCAAGAGGTGGACCTCATCAATAATCAGCAGCTTGACCAGCTGGGCAAGGGCCACATCACCTGTACTCTTACGTGTCACAACATCCCATTTTTCTGGTGTGGTCACCAACATCTGCTCTCAAAAACATGTTTGGATGTTACTATTTTTCACTTTTAGTTTTATCACATCATTCAAATACAAATTTTACAATTTTCAAATCTCTTCATGGGTCAAGTTATCTGCTAACAATCTAATTACAAATTTACCATACAATAATAACAATCTCTTATACCCGGTATATATTTTGCTTGTGGTGTGACTGCTTCCATTTCTGGAAAATATAATTCCTGGTAACTACACTAAATGATTTTTTTTTAAGTAACGCAACTGCATTTGGTGCATAATATTTTCTTTTCCAAAAATGAAATGATCTCAATTTAAATATGGTGTAGTAAATATTCCATTTAAAAGTGGTTGCGACATCAGAACATTTAATATAGTTCAAAGGCGTGAAATAAAAAGTGTGCAGTGATGTATCAAGGCGGAACGGGGTGTAGCAAAAATTGAGATTCTTAAATACTTGTTACTTGAGTTCATGTTTTGTGAAGGATTTATAGTAGATGTGAAGTTCACACATTGCTGTCACTAATGTTTGGGGAGCTGTAACTAGTTTATAAATAAAGTACTTAGAAAAGTTTCATTAATTTTTCCTTTCTATAGTCTATCGCTATGCATAAGAAGAAACATATTTTAATTTGTATTTATTTTGCTTTTAAGAAAATATTCAACAGGACGGCTTAGGTGAGACTTGAGATTTTGCTGTAGTGTTGTTAAGTTGTTTCATACCTGAGTGTTGAGAATTTCCTGCTTAGTAAGTGACATATCTCCCGTCAACTCTTTGACAGTGATCCCCAAGGGCAACAATCTCCCACCAAAGTTACGCACCATCTCAGCTGCCAGAGCTTTCATTGGTGCAACATAAACAATCTGAATCATATGACAAAGCAAAACACTTTTAAAGGATGTACATTGATTGGGGACCAGCTTTTTTTTTTTAATTTAAAGCTGTTCTTAATGGTCAATATTTTTTATATTAACCATTTTTTGGATAACCTAAAATCTTTGATGGTTAAAAAAAAAACAAAAAAAACATTAGAATCAAACAATAATAGATGTATAAATTAAACACTCACTTTGAACTCATCTTTCTTTATAACTCCTTGAGAAATGTGCAGCTTAATTTCATGTAATATTGTGAGCATGGCAATATTTGTTTTACCAGCACCAGTTGGGGCACAGATGAGAAGGTTCTCATTCGTGTTGTAGGCAGCATTGAAGACAACAGACTGGATTCGATTTAGACTCTCAGTGCCCTTGAAAGCAAGTTTTCCAATCTAAAGAAAACAGCATTATTTGTAGAGGAGAACAAAAATATTTACAAATTTGAACCAAAAAAAAAATTTTTTGTATCTGAACAAGAAGTAATCAAAACAAAGCAACATGTCTTGGCAATATTATTTACTTTTCAAATTTTTTTCAAAGCAAGACACACTTGTTATGACCAGATTTGTCAACCTAAATAAACCACTGTCACATATTAAAGTTCAGCAAATAAACCACTGTCACATATTAAAGTTTAGCAAATAAACCACTGTCACATATTAAAGTTTAGCAAATAAACCACTGTCACATATTAAGGTTCAGCAAATGACATCACTTTACAGACAAAGTTCCACAAAATACTTCTTATGACTTACATCATCAAGGCTGTCAATTCTAATGCGGTTCTTCCCAACTTCCGGAGGGGCTGATCCACTGGCAGGAATGTTGATCTCTTCATACAGCTTGTCATCTTTACGTTCAAAATTCTCAGGCAAAACAATCTATGTGAAAACAGATGAATATCAATAGTACTTATAAATTTTAAACAAAGGAACTATTTTTGAGAGCTGTGAGTTATTAAAATAGAAATGGAATTTAATGTAAGCAATTAACAATGGCATAATAAACTGACTCAAGAAAACAATCAATAAATTATAGACCACACAAAAAATAAAGCCAACATTCTCAACAGTAAGAATATGAAGTCATCTACTTTATGCAATGTCCACATTAGTGAGCCACATCACTTCCCATCCAACAACCACTCCAATCTGTGGGATACACTGATATAGACAACACAAAAATAAAGCCAAAATTCTCAACAGTAAGAATATGAAGTCATCTACTTAACAAAATGTCCACATTAGTGAGCCACATCCCTTTCCAGCCAACAACCACCACAATCTGTGGGATACACTGGCTCACTGTGGACACTATCCAATTAAAACTGCCTTGAACTTTGGCATAAAGGATGGAAAAGAGCAAAAATGCTTTAACGTAGCAGGAAAAAGAAAGATGGGCAGATTTTTATCAGTTACAGGGAAATATATTTTAAAATCTGAATTTCTTAAAAGCAGGAAGCCTTTTACTGATGTGACAAACTTATTCTTGACATTCCCCAGTATTTACTGTTTCAAATAATGACTGATAGAATTTATCATAGAATCATGATCTAAAACAAAATTAATTCGGTTGATTCAATTTCCTTTTCTTTATTTTTATTGACAAACTTATTCTTGACATTCCCCAGTATTTACTGTTTCAAATAATGACTGATAGAATTTATCATAGAATCATGATCTAAAACAAAATTAATTCGGTTGATTCAATTTCCTTTTCTTTATTTTTATGGGCTTCTGGATTTTTTAATCTCTAGGTTCTAAGCCTTGACTTTTACAAAAAACTTATGAATAACTGAGCTTATTTATTTCAGAAGTGGAGCTTGAATAGTGTGAGCTGTATTTAGTGTGACTCCCTTATGTCAGAGTTATTCCTCAAAAAACAATGAGCCTCTTCTCCGTTTAGATATTGTGATACTACGTACCAAAGCAAACATAAGTATGGAAAAATCCTACTCTCATACACACCTTTGCTCCTGCAATGTAAGCTGAGGATTGCTGGGCATCAGCAAGTTTGTCAAATACAAAGGGATATTTTTCAGGTTTAACATAGCCTGAGCTTCGGCCAGAGAAAAGTGGAGCTGTCTTAGCAGCTCCCAATTCTGCCATCCTGAAAATAAAATGGGCAGAATAACTGAATTGTAATAAATGAAAATGATTCTTTCATAACACTTGTAATACAAAGCCATTTTTTTTAAATATTCCCAAATCTTAGTATATAATTATCGTATTTACTAAGAGACATATATTTGATGCAAAAACATGACATACCTGGCAGCCCTCAGTTCCTCAGGGGTCATGTCTAGGGCCCCAGCTATTTCTTGATCCTCTGAGCTCAACTTCCCATCTTTCTTCAAACGTTTTTCTTCCTTCCTGAGCTGCTTAGCCAAAGATTTCTCCTCGGCCCTCTGTTGAAAAGTGACAGGATTAAAATGTATCCCACGAACTTATAGATCTGCAGTTAGCAATCCTCGGTACATTCATGAAAACCCAGATTTTGAAATAAGATATATTAAATGCACATGGTTAAGAAAAACAGTTCCTCACCAGAGACTGACATACACCCAAAGAAAAAACAACCTGAAATTTTATTTCCTTTCAATGACAACAATTTATTTGACAAATTTGAAATAAGATATATTAAATGCACATGGTTAAGAAAAACAGTTCCTCACCAGAGACTGACATACACCCAAAGAAAAAACAACCTGAAATTTTATTTCCTTTCAATGACAACAATTTATTTGACAAATTTAATTACCTGAACCATAACTTGACATCCATAAGTTGGTCGTTCATTCTCTGATTTCTTTTCTAAACACATTGGTGTAATATCAGAATTATGGACATGTTAAAAAAATCATGACATTTAGCTATAGAAAATAAAAGTAATTTGAGTATTTGAAAACCATTAATAACAACAAAAATAGACAATTTTTTTTAAAAATCAAATAAATAAATTTTCATATGATTATTTCATTCATATTTGTAAAGCTTATTTGATTGCAGGATGAAAGAGTGATACGATTTTTTTGTTTGGCTCCGTTACTGTTGTCGTCCTTCACAAGCAAAGATGACCGTTTATGTATTTGTCCGTGAGCAACACCTACCAGTCCATATATGTGTTTAGTTTTCATTTAAGTGAGGGAGAAGAGCACATAACATCAGGCTCACTCTCTCAACCTGGCCTATTTTTATTTAGGGGCAAGTCAACTGGAAAAAGCACAGGATGCGGTGGATGAGTGACAGTGTATTTGGGTCTCACTGTGCTCTTTACGTGTTCCCGGTTACAATGTCACCAAGTCACCTAATCAGGTCGTCACAATAGATTCTTGTCACCTAATCAGGGCATTGGTTCACCTAACCAGGGTGCCTCTAGAACATTAGAATAATAATATAATTTACATTAAGAATCAGAGACGTACTTGGCATCTGTTGTAGAATAGCTCTAGTAGATTCTGCCATATGAGCTTTGATTATGTTGTTGCGGTTGACTAGAAGCTGCTGTATTAACTCAAAACGGTCAAAGCCAAGAAGGTCAAAAAGCTAGAATTTTACAAAGAGAAATCGTATTAATAATCCAAAAATTATCTTCCTCTGAGGAGTTTTTATTTCACATAATGATAATTATAGCATACGTATATAAAAAATTTACAAAGCTGATAAATAATTTGACACATGACATAAATAATGTGTCCTACTGCTTTTCAGTGGCAATAATTTAAATTATATTATGATTTTATCACATTTTTCCCCAAAAAAACATTTTTAATTTATGTAAGAATATTAAAATTTTTTAACCATTTCAAGCTAACTAAGTAAAAGTATCATAAGAACTTCTGTGACTTTTTGCATAGGCAAGGTAGGCTAAATACTTACCACCCCCTGAAAAAGTTTAACGGCAATAAAAGAGGGGAAAAGCCCAAAAAGAAAGTGGCCAGGGTATGTTACAATGACTTTATACGTGATAAATATGTCATGCTCATGTCACTTGAAAACTAACCTCATTCTGAAGCTCCTCATCTTTACGACCTGAGTTGAGGACATCATAGATTGTTGAAGTTAGTTCATCCAGACCTAGGCTGATTGCAGTCTCATTGCCTTCAAAGAATTTTCCTATAACAGTTCTCATCCAAGTAGAATTGAACTCCAAAGATCTTCTCTCCCCACTAGCTTCTGTAAATGTTTTGTGGTCCTTTGAAGTTGCTGCTGCAGCAGTATATCGAAGATCGAAATCTCTACTTCCATTGTCTGAAGCATCATCTTCATCTTCACTAGAAACTTGATCCTCATTCTCAGCAATGTCGTAAGGCACTGTGAACTTTATTGAGTGTCCGAATTCTTCTGTGCTTGCCGCTCCATCTCCTTAATAGGGGAAAATTGTGTATAAACTAAATTAATTGCAATATCTTGAAGAAAAAAGCTCAACAAATTTTTATAAACAGATTATTTTTTTTAAATAAAGAAATAAACCTCACTGCATTAAAAGGAATTAAAAGGCATTAAGACGCACAAAAGGAAAAAGAACATCAATTTACTGAAAGTTTGCAGGACCTTGTTGACATTGAAAGGGAGGCATTTTTAAAATAAAGAAATAAACCTCACTGCATTAAAAAAAATATTGTTACTTCATCACTAAAAATAAATGTATTTTAAATAAGTACAGTAAAAAAATATGTTAAACAGATTTTAAAGGTACTATTTTAGTGTAGCCCTTCTTGGTGGTATGACATGAATGTATGGTAGGGTGCCACTCAGTGTATTGGAAACGAAACAAAACAAACAGTTCAACATTTCCAGGTCCCAGATGATCATTTTGTGATGCATAGTAACTATGTCAAGTTTTATGGGGGATAGGTTAATATTTACTAGTAGCTAAATGGGCTGAAATCGTTTGTGTACATTTATCATGATAAAATGTTATTTAATTGCAATTTATTTTGGCTGCTTTCATTTATTACATTTACATATATAGTAATAGCATTGTTAATTATATTACGGATCATCAGGAGAGATGGAAAGCAAGTGAGTTGTGATTTTCCCAAGAAGGATCTCGCTATGGTTAGAGGAACTCTTGCAACAATCACTTGATGCCAACTTCCTACAAATCAAGTGTCGCAGTGTTTCTTTCATCTTCACAGTGTTAATTTTGGATAATATTTCGGCCAGTGCCACAGCAGCTATGAATGAAGCTGTTCAGTTCTGGGACATATGGCTATTTGTAAGGACTGCCACATCGTCACAAAAATGAAGGACTTATATTCATCATGGCTTGGAATGAAGAAGAATGCATCTGGCAGAACAGACGCACAAAAGGAAAAAGAACATCAATTTACTGAAAGTTTGCAGGATCTTGTTGACATTGAAAGGGAGGCGGGAGGCATGGTAGCATGAGTTGGGTTGACCTGGTGTTGGCTCGGAAAGATCAAAGGTATTGAAAATGGCTTTTAGAGAAAGAAACACACAAGGCAAAGGAGAATGAGCTGATGCAACAAAGGACACCTAATGTGAAGTTCAGCAGCAGTGGCAGCAATGTAAGTGAAATTGAAACCAGTAGTGATGCTGATGAGGACTCCAATGGGCAGCAAACTCCTGTTCAACTGAAGCCAATCAATATTGCCAGTCCAGGTTTAGCACCTGCATTAGACAGAACCAAAGTCAATGACAGGAACACATCATACATCATTGCAGCTGACATAGTCTGTCAGACCCATTAACAAAGAATCCATCAGAAGAGCCATAGACAGGTACTATGAAATAGTAGTTAAAGATATTCAGGCATTATTTAGTCCAAACTGTCCATTGGGATGGAAAGGTTTAATTTTGAATGTGCTCATTGACCGCCTTGTGTTTATGGTGTCTGGGAATGGAGCAATTAAGTTGTTGCTAAATGGAACTGGTCAGGCAGAGACGACAGAATTAAATCTTATTCAGGAATGGAACTTCAGTGAATAGTTCATGTGCTTTGACACTACAGCTAGCAACTCTGAAGGTCATGCCAGTGCCTGCATACTTTTGGAAGAAAAGCTTGGCAAGGATCTGATCAACTCATCATGAAGAAATCAGATCCTGGAACTAATAGTGGCTAAGGTATTTGATATATTGATGGACCATCTTGTGGTTCAAGTATCAAGTTGTTCTAGAGATTTGATTTGGTGAACATTAAGGCTCAATTAATCCGTCTGGCTAAAAAAGTGGACTACAATGTAGATTTCATCGCAACGACTCTCAGTCCAGTTCAGCATGACATCATTCACTTTATTCTGCAACATGTAACAGAGTTTCAGCCCAATAATGATTATTGTGCGCTTCTGCAGCTGTGGTTTCTAATTCTCAGAGCAAAGATTGCAATGCCGCCACACATATTCAGGCTTCCGAAGTATACCACTGAGCTTGATGGATGATAAGATGTTTACAGTCCATAAAAAATTATGTTTTGCTCCTTATTCAGACTGACTACTGACTGCACATGAACTGTCATTTACAGGCCACTTCAACACTTTTGTAATAAAGATCTATCGAAAGCACATGTGCCTCGTTCGCTCCGCAAAATGGTCTAGTCGGTTTCGCATTCTTTCCTCGTCAACAATCTAGATACAAGTAGCAGTGACTATGACTACCTTGTTAACATACTGAAGGTGAGGAGTTTGAAAGTGGTCAACGACACAGCCCCCCTCAGAGGGGGAGGGGGCCTTGATTCAGGTGCTCAACAGAGCCCTGACAAATCAAGAGGAATGGAAACAGTGTTTGCTTCAAGTCATAGAAATAACACTGCCATGACTTTCAAAAACCCAACAAATCAGCTTTACCGCAATTCATATAGAAACATACACATCGGCAGATAAATAATTGACGCCATGTCATTTTAGGTTACTGTTTGAAATAGAGAGATTTTGTGCAAAAGTGTTTTGAAATGAACTTCTGAAGTAAATCTTAATAACTATAGGGGAGATATTCTTTTTTAGGATTTTTAAAGAGTTTTACAGTATAATGCAAATTGTGTTGTTAATATTATACAATAATATGGGGTAATATTGTATATTGCAAACCTTTGAAAGTGTTGCGCTACCTGTAAATATTATTAAATACATTCAAATTTTGTAAGCATTTGTTCTTTTCACATTATAAACACATTTGAGGGATGGAAAGATGAAAATTAGACAATTCATTTTTGAGTGGCACCTTAAACTGTATGGTCTTTGCTTGGAAATTTGGATGGTCTATTATAAATTTAAATAAATTATATGACGAAAAAAGAAAGAAGATAGGCAATTAGACCTAATAAAATAAATCAGGAAATTTTACATGATTAAATTTGTAATACATTAATATGTAGTCTACTCCATTCATGGCCTGTTTAAGAATGAGCCAAAATAAACTGATAAAATGACTATTGCAAGCGTCAACAACCTTCCTCTCGCTCTGAAGTCAGCTCTTCTAGTGCAGATTCTGGCAGCCATCCAACAATCTTTTTCACCAGACTACATGCTTTTGTGGCAGCAGTAGCAGGATAAGGCCCAAAAGTACTCCGTAGCTGAGTGGCTTCCCTCTGTCCTACATTTTCAACAGACTTAAAGACATCAAATAAGAAAGCAGCTCCACATTCTACAGTTTCTGATGATTCTTCTGATCCAACTGATGAAAAAAAAAAGTCATAATTTTAAACAAATTTGGAAAGGAATAATTTCAAAAACTGCAACATAATAATTTCATTAATTCATAAATATGAACAACTTAATTAAGTCTAAACCCACAGGGAGAAAAGTGGTGTTCTTTAACCATTGGCTCAAGCACTAGCCTGTGTGGGACTTCTGAATGAATGAATATATTAAATATCCATAAACAAACATTAAGCAACCTATAACTGTTTTAATTAGAGAATCGCTTGCTTTAAAAATAAAGGATTTAACAAAGTATAGCATGTTTAAAAAGTGCTGACAAAATTACAGTTTTAAATGCCAGAGGAATAAACAAAAACTTTAACAAGATTTCAAGCAAATAAAAGATTTGTCAACTTTCAAATGCATTAATTATTTACACCATGAATGCTGTTTCTTAATTTTAGAACCGCACTTACCAATAGATTTTGCAGTAGCTACTAATTGTTTAGTTGTTGCAGCTATTTCACTGTGGCTTGCATTAGCATTCTTTTTTAATAATCCCAATAAGTTTTCCCAAGAGGGACTTCTTTCTTTTTGTTTTTCGAGAGCCAGTGATTTACGTAAAGTCAAATCATTGGTATGTCCCAAACCATCAGCTTGGGAAACTGTACCAAAGGCACGTAGTGCTCCCGTCAGTCTGGGAAGCTCGGGCATGATCAGCTAAAAAATTCTGAGAAAAAATGTATGTTTTTTTTTTATAAATATCAACTAGAAGTTTTTATATAGATTCATAACATGACAGTCTCTGTGTGTCCATCTTATATCCATTTCCTATTGGCATTTATCATAGGGAGTCAAGAAAGCCTTAAAAGATCACAAACTCAATTTGCAAGGGCAAGGTGAATAAAAATTCACTACAGTACAATACAGTTGAGTACAGCTGTGGTGAAAATTTTCCTATTGACTCTTGGGGTATCATTTAAAAATGAAGGGAAGTAAGGCCTAAGGCTAAGGGAATTAATACTATTTCATGTCATATTGCCTAATTAAAGCCTAATACTAATAGGCTGGACATATCTTTTTAGGCTATTAAGTTTACGCCTTTGCCATTTATTATTAGTATTAGACTTAGTCTTAGACTTTGTTAACAATTTGTTATTAAAATTTGCTAAATTAAATAAATTAAATTCATGGATTCATGGCCAAGTCTTAAAAATGAAAAATGTTGTGTGTGTTTTTTTAATTCATAAAATTATAATCAGGTTTAGGCCTAAAATTATAAATAATAATTATTAATATAGTATAGTTATAGTATAATCGTTTAATCGGCTAATGTAGGTAAATTTTAAAATGAAAGTGAAAGTAGAAATCTGTCGCCTATCAGTTATCAGACAGCTTGATAACTTGCTCTACACTTTATTAAATTACAAAAATTCCTATAACAATATAGATGAAAAAAAATCTCCTAACTTATTTCAAAAACCTTCAGAGTATTAGTTCTTAGGCAACAGTGTTGTTAAAAACAGTGTTGTTCGTTGTTTTATTCCTTAGTTATTTATCTCCTATGAACACAAACATGATTGTCGTGTTATAATGTGGTGCAATCAGTCATCTGCAGTCTACCAATACATCCGGTCGTCTGCTAACACTCGCTTCCATGCCCAGCACTTCGATTTTTTAATTATTTAAATATTTAAATTAATCATGTTTTAACTTTCAACACATCAATTTTTAATATACCATATTAGCTGATTTACAACTTTTTTAAAATTATATATGATACATCGTTAAATTTTGAAACTCAAGTTTGTCATACTTCCAGGTTGCATAGTAATTTATTATATAGCTATAGCACTATAGCCAATGATGGCCTATGGCTATGGGCTATGGGCAGTATGGGTGCCATTTATAGCAAATTATTGGCTCCACCATCACATTAGGGAGCTCCATGTCATTTTTCGTTTTTTTTACCCTAGGTTAAAAAAAAAAAAGTATTTTATTTTTTCGAACATCACAGCTCGGGTTGCAGGACCACACAAAGTCTCTATTAAGCCTATAATAGTTTTATTTGATATTACGCCAAGTTAGTCGCAGTATCTTGTAACCTACGGTATTGCCTTTAGAATTAATCACATGAAAGTGTTCATTAACTTGTGGCGAGCCTCAGAAGCCCCACTAGAGAGTTGCGGGCCATACCAGGAAAACATCTTCAAATTTGACAGAGTTCGTTTGGGATTGATTTATCAAGGATCTAAGGATCGAGTGCCATCAGAGCAGACTACCATCAAAACTTTGTGCAATCAGAACTGGGTATCATCAGAGCTGGGTGCCACAAGACTTCACCATGCAGTGTAGAGTTTCAACAGAACCGCGTGCCACCAGTAGTGCCGTCGCGTTGGCCGTGCAACCAGTGTGCAGGGGGCGTCAGATATTTAAAGAGCCCAAAGTTAAGATATGAAAAAAATTCAAGAATTAACTATGAATGCAGGAGCCACAAAATCGGAAAGTGGAAGGCAACCTCCAAACGTCACGCGACGGTTCTGCTCGCTGTCGCATAGGAGAGTACTGTTGTCTTATATACCTTCAGCTTTGTGATAATTCTGCATATCCTCCATCCATCACTGTGGCAATTCAGTCCATGAAGGACTTTGGCCTGCCTCACTACTTCCTTCCACTTAACCTAACTAATGCTTTTCTTTTCCACGCTTAGATCCCCAGCTGCTGTATATCTTTTTCCACATCATCCATCCATCTAAACCTAGGTTTTCCTGTGAGCCGTTTTTCTCTGAGGTTTTAGTGATGTACCCTCTTCACTCTTCTGTCATTTGGCATTCTTTCTAATTGTCCTGCCCAGTGTTACTTACCGTGTGTGTGTATATATATATACACAGATTTCACCCCGGGTGTAGATTTTGCTAGGTCCCAAGATATGGTTTACCATGCCTTGGCCTTGACATTCGATTATAGGCCTACATGAATTTTGTATCATTATATTTTTCTGATGGTAGCTGTGCGTTTGTTTTCATTAAATTTATATTCTCAATGCTTGCCAAAGCTATATGTCTCAGTCACTTTCAATTAAATTATCTAAACTGGACAATCGTCGTCGTTCCTCCAATAGTGACATCAAACCACGAGTGCTCAAAGAATTGGTCAATGAAATCGCTATTGTACTGAAAATCCTCTTCCAATTGTCGCTGTACACAGGCAATGTTCCTAAAGACTGGAGAACAGCGCATATCACTCCAATCTACAAGAAAGGGGAGCATTCTGACCCTACCCAAGTCCCGTCCGATATCCCTCACCAGCGGGGTATGCAAACTGTTGGAGCACATACTCGTAAGCACCGTTGTGAAGGATCTTGAAAGCCACAATATACTCCATGACTATGAGCATGACTTCCGAGTCAATAGATTGGGTGAGACCCAGCTCCTTGAATTTGTAGAAGACTTGATGACCAATCTGGAGAACAGCAAACAAACTGACGTGCTGGTGATGGACTTCTCAAAGGCTTTTGACCGTGTAAATCATACTATGCCTTTAAACAAGCTTCAGAGATTTGGGATCCAAGGCACTACCAATGCATGGATCTCTAGCTTACTAAGCAACCGATGCCAGGCAGTAGTGGTGGACGGTACAAGCTCCTCCTTTGTTGATTTTAAGTCAGGGGTTCTCCCCTCCCCCCGGGGGGGGGGCTCAGTGGTAGGCCCCTGTTTGTTCCTAGTATACACCAATAACTTACCCGAAAAACCGAACTCCCAAGCAAGAATGTTCGAAGAATATACGGTGGTGTATAGGACGATCGCCAACAGTTCTGACCAGGATCAGCTACAACAAGACCTCCATCGGTTAGCTGAGTGGGAGATGAGCCGGAACATGTAATTTCATCATTGCCAAGTGCCTGACACTGCCAGTCTCCAAAAGTAGAATCCCTCTACACCACCCTTACGAACTGCATGTCCATATCCTTGAGCCAGTTTCCTCCGTAAAGTACCTCGGTGTTACCATTCGACAAGAGTTCCTCAGGGATGAGCATATTAATAATGTGTGCAACCAGGCAGTAAAGACCTTAGGGTTCTTAAGGCGAAATCTAAAGATCGGCAACACCAGTGTGAAAAACGCAGCCCATAAAGCTTTTGTTCGGCCATTTTTTAGATTACGCATCTTCAGTCTGGGACTCATTCACCCAGAGGAGCATCGACAGGTTGGAGGCGGTCCAGCGACGGGCAGCACGCTTTGTCCTGAACCGTTACAGGAACACCTCTAGTGTTGGCAGCATGTTGGAAACACTGGGCTGGTCACCATTGGAGGAATAACGACGAATGACGACGATTATCCAGGTTCTCCATGATGTACAAGATATTAAAAAATGGGCTGGTCCACTGCACCAACATTAAACAGAAACTCGTCCATCTCCCCAATAGACAGCGACGCGGCCATGACAGGCAGATTCGGCTCATAACAGCAAGAACACATTACAAGAACGGCTAACTCCTGCCAAGGACAAGCAGGGACTGGAACAAGTTCCCAAAAGGAACAGCTGAGGCGACAAAAAATGACACATTTACGTCTATTGCCTCGGGCCTTCCAACCCTGCGAATCCCCTCTACATAAATAGGAGCAAGAATGATCAATACATTGATCGTGGGCCCTTAAGATATAGAAGAAGAAGAAGACTTACACATGGGATAAACTCCAGAGGTTTACATCGTCTAGCAGTGCTGATGAGAAGAATTTTAATGTCTTTCGTCAATTATTTAAAAATTTGAAGATGATTTACTAGGACCAAAGATTTTAAGCTTGTTTGATGGTTTCCTGACAATAGGCAATACGACTTAGGGTTAGTACCACCTGGGGCGGGCCAGAAATGTTGCGTCCCCTTTCCACGAAAAGAACCACACATTCATACTTGATCGAAAATGACGCTACCAAATAAAAAAAAAAAATTAAAAAATATATATATATATAAAATTGTTGGGGCGGATCACCACCTCCGCACCCCCTTCATATGCCACATGGTGGTACAAAAAATTGCACAAGGTAACGTCATAATTATACAGCCCCCACTCTACGGCTTACCAGACCAATTACCAAATGGAAGTTACTGGGGTAAACTGGAATGATAAACAAATTACGGAGTGCAGTAAATGGAGAAGTTGAAATCATTACTTTTTCGTGCTAAATAAATTACATGGCAATCGTTGTTTAAAAAAAATTTATACAAACAATTTATTTTTTAATTCTACAAAAATGCGTTAATTTCAAGCTTGGTTACTAGTTTTGTTCCGAGCAATTTTATACTTTCCGTTTAATTCTCTTTTTTAGATCTTTTATTCACATGAGATTTCACGAGGTTTGTTGGTTGTCATCGAGACTAACAATCGGTAATCTGTGGAGTACAGAAAATTAAATTAACATTTAACATATCCAGTACCCAAAAAACAGCAATAATGGATGATTTTCAATCTGGGGAAGAGGTAACTATAACTTTTATTAATACCCATGGCCTTCACATTCATTGTCAACATATGTTGACAAAGATGAATCACTCCTCCTGGTCTCCCAACTGACTGAGACTGAGACTATTTGACTATTAATTCAGTCACTATTCAGACTCAATACTCGGTCAATACTGACAGTGAGAGAGTGACTGACTTAACTTATTAACTCCTGTCTAGGACCACTTATTAGTATTACTTACTTACGTATGCCTTTTACCCTGTCTGAAGCATAGGCCGTCAATAAGAATTTTCCATTCATCTCCCTCCTCTGTACTCTCCTTTGACAAAAAATTGCTTCCAATTTCATTGATTCCAGGTGTATCCCATGCCCATACTTTTTGTGTGTCTCCCGGTATTTTTAGCCATTTCACTCTTTATTTTTTCCCCTATGGATTCAATGTTATTGATTGCCTGGTGATTTTATTTGGGGGTTTACAAAGAGGGTGCCATGCCATATCCACCTCCATTTTTTCTTTGAAAGGAGGCTCCTCTGCTATGAGGTTTCCAGTATAATCTGGCTTTGGCCGTAAGTTTTCATAATAGCTTTTCTTGGGGAAGAACAGCCAAGGCTGAAATTGTTTTGTTTTTTTCATCTTATTGATGTTTCTGTAGCGTTTGTTTTTTTTACGGGTTAGGTAGCTGGCCTGACGCCAACTCCTTTTTTTGCACCCCGGCTTGGGACCGGCCTTGGCAGTTAATACTAACTACTACTAATAAATACTACTGGTTAGGCCTACTATGAATGATGATCCTATCTAGTAATGCTTAATATGGCAAGAGTGGTATATCATCTGAATCAGATTGATTTCCAGGGCCAGCTTTTTTTTTTTGAATGGCCAGCAGCAAGCTAAGAAATATCAATTAAATTTGAATGTTCAACAGTTTATGAAATTTAGCCCAACATTTATAACTTTAAACCAAAGTAGGCTAAAAGCTAAGCACTATTTAATTATGATGCACAGGTTCCCAACCTTTTTGGTTTACATCCCCATTTACGTGGACCAAAGTTACCTGGGACCACATTCTGTAGAAGTTGAGTGACTCAAATTCTGTATAAAAAATAAACAAACAAGTTATAAACTTATTCAACAGTGCAACAGTTTGAAGCCTTCTAAACTTTAGTTTTACCTGTTGGAATGGTAATTCTTCATCTGATATCAAACATCGATTTAATAGAATAATCAGGAAAGCTATTAATATCACATAAACTTAGCATCCTTTACTTGAAGAAATATGAGAAGAAAAATGCTGTAAAAATTTTTTATTTAAAGTTTTGATTATATACCCTCTTAGTCATAGATATCTAAGATCAGCTTGATGAAGGCCAATTCTTACCCTTAACGTTAGGACCAAAAGATATACAAATACCCCCTTTGCCAAGTATATTCATGTGTCAAATCTTAGAGCCATTTTTACCCCACTTAATCCTGCATCTAGAGTTTACACCTTCCTATGTTGGAGCAAATATATAATTTATTTTTAAAATTCTAATATCATTAATGTAACATTTTATATGTTTCTGGTTTACTAAATTGCTTATGGAGTTAGTATCTGAAATAAGCCATGGATTATTAATAAAATCTGGATTAGCTTTTCTATATTAACATAATCCATTTTATTGAATAAATCCCACAAAACGAGATTGTTCACTCTGATTATTCACTGAAACTGTTTTTTTTTTTTTAATTGCTCTCTACCAATCTTACCCTTTCATACTACAGGGTTTGAGGGCTATTTGAATTTAGGCCAACTTGAAGCTGTACTTTAGAAGTATATATATCTTTTAGAATTTTTATTGAAATGGGTTAGCCTAAAATTATTTGTGCTTTAGAGCACTAAATAATCAATCTAAATTTACTCTTTTCCATCTCTTTTAGGAAGTAAGTAATGGTTGTTAAAGGAGTCTTAAAAACTGGAGTAAAAGAATGTTGAATGTTTTTTGAAGTGTCTTTTCAGTTTTATTTATTTTTTATTTTCAATTCACATCATTTACTCTGAGAATTAATTATTCAAATTGCACATTTACTATTATTGAAGTTATGCATTACTTCCTTTATAAAAAATGCAGCATTATTATAATCATCGGTATCTTTGAACATAATTACCATATTGGGTATTTTCAAAATAATAATCAAATAATATTAACCACATTGTGGAAAAGACTTAGAAGGTTAATTATTTCATATAAGCTTTTTTAATGCACATGTTCAAGAGTCAATTTGTGAATTAAAATTAAAGTTAGAGAACTTGGCAAAAAATGAAAGTTTGTACATTAAATGAATTATAACTGTTTTCTTTCAGATGGTGAGTCTCTAGTCCATAATGATGAACTGCTGTATAATGTAATGTCTTGTTTGAATTGCAGTGCTTTTAATTTTGTTCAATCATTAAATGATTATTTGTGTTATTTCAAGTTTAACTGAGTGTTAGTTCTTCAGGGGAGAAATGTTTGCATTCTTACCTTTCTCAGACTTATGCTGAGATTTAGTTCACCATTAAGAGCTTGGGACAGGTATTTGACGGACATTCTTTATTAGCAATGCAGCAGCAATAACAAAACTACTTGAGCTTTTTTCTTTACATTTTGGTCGTGTTTTCACATCTTAAAACCCAATTTTCTTAAGATACATTTTGTAATGGTTATTAATCACAAATTTTACCAGTTAGTTTGTTAAATTCTTTGCTATTTTTTGCTGTTTTTTTATAGCTTAGTTTACATAATTGAATCTTGAATATTATTGACAATTAATACAAATTAATGTAAAATCATATTTTAGACAAAACTTAGTTATTCTAATTATTTAAAAATACAGAAACAAGATCTACTTTTATTTTCCATGAGGTTGAGATTTTCTGCTATGAATAAAATCTTTGATCGTCCAAGATAAGATAGTAAAGGAATAGCAATATAATGCAAAGTATATTCAGTTTTAATTTCATTGTGTAACTTGGCAATTGTCTAACAAATGATGCTAGAAGTGTATGCATGTATTTTTTATTACTAATTTCAATATTTGGCACCACCATTCTTTTGGATTTTGCAATATTGTCTACTTTTAAGATGACGTTAATCTCTCATGTAAATTAAGCTTTCATGCTAATCATGTTTATACTCACTCTAATTATTAACAAACATTTATGATTATGATATGAAAAGAATGTGTTATAGTTGTTAATCAAAAATATAAATTATATGTGTTGTATTTTTAATGTTTAACATACTGGTTTTATTTTTTTCAGCAAGTAAGTAAATCAGCTGCCCAAAAAGCTTTCTTTGGTGAAGAAATGTCTATTTTCTTAAATTACATTCAAGTCCTGAAAATTATTCATTTAGGACAGAATTTTATTTTTTTTAAAACTATTTTCTTCTTTTTCAGAAATTGCACTATGTTTATGTTCAAATTTTTTTAAAACTTTATTTTATTTCTAGTTACCTTTTTCTAAGTTGAACAAAAGAAATACATTGTATTTTATTCACCTTTGATTATGTTTAGAATAACAAAATGCCTCCATTATACAGTGGTCTTATATAGCGCTGTACCACAGCCTAGAGTTGGGATCACCATGCTTCACATAAAAATATTGGCAAAAATAAATATGACATTAAAACAGTTACATAGATTTATTTAATTACAAAGCAGCTTTAAAAAAATATTCCTGCACCGCCCAAACTATTTACATGTCAAGCCATGGACGGCACGCATCAGCATCGTTTATCGGTTAGAGTGGGGTGGGAATCAGCCTGGATAGTATAATTTAATGTGTCAATCTCCTTGTTACGCACTGGTTTCTAATATGAGAAATTAATCTCCTATTTTAATTTTATTGGCTCGTTGTAAACAGTGCCTAACAAAGGACGATACCATAGAGTCAACAATATTGAAGACACCCAAAACAGTTGCCAGTTACAATTAATTATGATTTATTAAGTATTAATACAATAACAAAACAAAAGAAATAAAATTATAAATCATCAGCTTACAGTATTGTAGATCTTGTAACGGTACACTGTTAATACAATGTGCCAATTAATAATGATGAATGCAAAATAAACACATAAATAGACAAATGCACAATACACGTCTCGTGAAGTTAATAATTATCTATCTGAATCTCTGTCTCTCCGTCCGTGCCTGTCAATCCCTTATATAGGTCGCGTAAGCCCTGCCTTCCAGAAAAGACTTATGACGGTTGTAAACAAGATACATCAAATGAATAGGCCACACCCACAATAGACGTTACTTTCTGCTAGGATTCTAATTTAGGTCAAGTAAAGTTCACGCACGGAAAAAGTGTGCTACATAACACTCCTGGAATTATTTGCAATTCAAAATAAACATTTATGGAGTCTAAGATGCTCATACAATTTGTTTTTTAAATTACACAGTCATCATCTTCAGGGTGACCGTAATAAAACATTTAGCAACGCTCCAGAAGAAAAAAAAATATTTTAAATCTCATAATTTTCAAAAAAGATACTCACAATGTGTTCATGAAAATGATGCTAATTTTCACAATTTATTAATTGAACGGCAGATTTGATCTCTTTGCTATCACATATATTTGCCGATTGTTGGTCTTTTGTAATTTCATAGGCTCTAAATAAATACTGTGCTGTAACTTTAACGTTAATTTTCTGCTCAGTATAGTAATGATTTTCCTTTACCATTAGAAGATCGAGTGCAGTGTACATGTTTACCTACTTCAGATGTAAAATAAATTGTCTTTTTATGATTTTAAAAATTAAAAAGCAATATCTTGATGGGAATATATAAGTAAAATTAAGGTGATAATTAGGCTATAAAGGTATAGCATTGTATGTTCCATTCATTAAAACATGTCTACATACTGAATAGAGTTGAATTAAAAATTCTTATTCTTTAAATATGTTTGAATATATAATACTTGATAAATATTTTGAATCCATACATCTTTTCACAATTTTTAATTGTAGCACTTAATTAAAAATTTTAGAAATTGGTGAAATATCAATATTGGCCTTGGTAGCAGAAAATAATTTTTTTAAATCCTTTTTTAGACGGCATTTGTCGTTGATGAAGTGACAAATATCATAAAGGAGGCAGTAGAAGGAGCCATTGGTGGCAACGGGTACCAGCACAACAAGGTGAATCAGTGGACATCAAATGTTGTGGAGCAGTGTTTGAACCAGTTGACCAAACTAGGAAAGCCATTCAAATATATTGGTGAGCTATTTCATTTAATTCATTTTTGAAAAATTTCATGGCACCATCTGTAATTGCTTTGTTGTCTGCTTATTCTAGGATATTCTCACTAAGTAAATAAAAATTAAAAAATCATGATTTATGTCTATAGGAAACAAATAAAAGAACGAAGCTTTAACTTTTTTTAAAAATAGTCAAAGAGATAACTGGATAGTAATTTTTAGTTAAATGTTATCCCTCTGTAATGCAAATTCAGAAATAGTGCTGTTGTGGAATGTCTCCTAAAGTTTGTATATTGATTCACACATTAGTTTTATTTTTCGATGTCTACAAATATATATACCGGTATTCTCATACACAACAATTCTTCAAATGTCTAACTTGAACACCACAGAACTTACTAACTACAAGAGATTAAAAGAATTTTTAAAATGAAATAACCCATCTTTCCACTTTTCAAAATCCCAACTCTATTCACATAGAAAATTGTAAATCCAATTTAGAGCAAGGTTCCACTGTATTCTCTTTAAAATGAATAATTTTTATGATATAAATTTCAAATATGCTTTTAAAATTAGAATACCGAAGTCTTCGTCATCAATTCTTTTTATGGGACAATATAAATAATATATCTTTTGCAGCATATAAAAAGTGTACAAAATGTGTTACTTTTTTTAACAATAAAGTCTCTGTCATGTTATATTATTTCTAATATTTATGTTTAATATATTTTTAAATTACTACTGGTACCTACCGTGATTTTCAGTGACATGTGTAATAATGCAGAAAAATGGAGCTGGACTTCACACTGCAAGCTCTTGTTTCTGGGACAATACAACTGATGGCAAGTAGACATTTAATTCGTTTGGAATTTTAAGGGATAATATTACTACAGATTTAATAATGTATTTTTTTAAGAAGGCATCGCTATTCTTCTTAACGCCTTCTTTAAAAAAAAACTTCCCCATAATGGTAATATGTTATTGGATATTTTGTATATTTCATTGACATATTAAAGAGATGGAATTGAAATGCGATGTAATGTGAAAATTTTTGCTATTACTACAATATAAAAAACTACTACCTTTTAACGAATTACACAATTATATCTGCTTAACTCTTTTGCTGCGGATTTTTATTTTTTTTTTCAAAGAGCGAAAAAGAGTGAGAGGTTTGGTTTATTAAAAAATATTTAAAATATTATTCTTTGGTTTATAAGACTAAACTTGGTATCAAATGAAAGATAATTGAAAGGACCATATGTTTGTAAACTTATTTCTTCAGTTCAAATAAAATAAGTTACAGAAAAGAACCATTTTTTCTCCAAACCCTATGACGTACACATACCTCTTCTTCACTTCTATAACTCAAATCCTCTAAAACTACTACTATCGGAATCATGCGATGGATCTAAATATAAATCATCTTCACTATCAAAAGAAATAGTATAAAACCATTCCAAAGCTTTTTGAGCTGTTAATCGTCTAGGAAACTTATTCACCTACTAGGGTCTAAGGTAGCCATAGTAACAGCAGAAGAAAAAAAAGCGAAGAAAATCATTAAAATAATGCTTCAAATGACAACAATTAAACCTTGATTTCACCTATAATCAATTAAATACCACTCTTCGATGTGAAAGTCTTATTTAAAATAGCTCTCAAAAAATTTAAAGGAGAAATAGCAAAGAAACAAACATGATTTTGAAACAACGCACAGCGCGTTGGTCCGTGCTTTTGAGAAAGGTGTAAGAACGCAGTGTGTGTTGTTCCACATCGAAAGAGTAATTATTTGTTATTTTACTTTCCACAGGAAGCTGCACAGTCCGGTGGGAAAATAAGACCATGTTCTGCATTGTCAGCGTCTTTGGACTTGCAATCTAGACCAACTCATCCAGTTATATCTTCCAGTCATTATTTCGTTCTTGCATAAAATTTGTCTATTTATTGAGATTTCATTTAAGTTTAAGTTTTGCATTTTATTATATAGTCTTTAAACAAATGTTTTATGAGTCTGATTATTTTATTTTTGGGAAATCTGGGTATTTGAAGAACATTTTATTTTTGGGACATCTGGGTATTAGTAGAACATCACTTCGTATGGTAAAACTACTCATTCATCAAAACCTTGAACCTAAGACTAAATTGATTAATTTTCTGTCGACAATTTTACTTTCATCTTATTGAGAGTTTGTCAATCTTTTGTCCCATCAATGTGTAAATAATTTCTTCTGGTTAGACCTTACTTTTTTTTTCTTTTTCAAGAGAGAGAGATTGCTATCGCAGCTACATCATTCACTCAAACATGTTCTCAGTTAATCCTCATTGTTTCACAACAGCTACATCATTTTTTTTTTTTTTTTTTTTTTTAGTGTTTTACATTATTAAGAAATTGAAGTAACATTTTTATCTCGACTTGCTTTATTCTTGAGAAATACAATACCAAGACCTACATGAGTTATTCATAGTTGCACAATGAAGAAAATCGACCTGACCTGAACTATGTGTGAGAAATTCCCTGGTTTGTGGGGTACAGCACTAGCACCTGGGAGGTTGCAAGGGCATAAAACATTGACAGTTAAATGGATGCCTGCATACTAAATTAGCTACTTTCTTGGGTTCATATTCATATTTGTGCATAAGTCAGGACACTCTTGAAGACTAAAGAAAATGTTCATGCTTACCAAGCATCAATTCATGACCCAATGACAGTACAACATAATGAAAAAATCCTGCATGTCGTAGACTTAATTCCACACTTATACCATTATTAAATAAAGGATTTGATGGAGCCTCAAAGTCGAAGTTTTTTATTTTTACCATTCGGAGATGTGTAATAAAACTTTTAAATTTATCTGTTATCAGATTACCATACATCTCGCAAGTATAATGTCTTGTTTTATTGTAAGAGGCAACTGAAAGACTTAGATCTAACTACATAAATTAACTCACCATCTATCAATGCTATGCATTTCTGATGAAGAGATGCCAAGCTTATGAAAAAAGATTGGATGTTTTGTAGAAATTTTGTATTTATTTAACTACCGGTATTGTTTGTAAAACATTGATTAAATGTCTGCTGATAACACACATGTTCTATTTCTACATTTGTTTATTTGCATGTTTGTATTCATTTGTATGTTAGCTCTGCTCAATTTTTATATGATTTTTACTAAATTTAGCCACCTGGATTAGCTATTGAAGGCCAATTTAAATCAAGTTATTTCAAGAATAAATATTTATCACATCATTCTTGATGTTTAAAGGAAAATCCGAGTCAGAAGTCATACCTTCATTGATGATGGACCATTAATATGATCTTAACTTTTCATAAATAGCACACAACACACATATGCATGATATGTATAAAGTCATCCTTTTACAATTATGCAAATATATGATCCATGGTCATCATTAGCGGAATACTTTTGTAATTTAATGTGGAGATGCCAGGGGCATTATTAAATTAATTAAAACCTCTTTTATCTGTACTGAAACATGGAAAGTCATAAACAATTCAAATAAAAAGGTCAATCAGGAGATTTTAATACAAAACTTTTAATAACATTTGAAAGATAACAGTATTACATCAAAAACCCTAAGCTCACTTGTGTATTTTTTCAATAAATGTTCCATTTAACTTTTTTTTTGAAACTTTAAAAAAAACAAATAGCTGTATATTTTTAAGATGCTAACATATTCTATCAGTGATCAGCTTTCTGTTTATGATCTTTTGAAGTACAAGTACTAAATTTGATCCTATGAACTAATAGTAATGGCTGAGTGGGATGAGCAAGAAATGTCAAAAAGACAGCAGCCAACTTGCCATGTAAAGAAAAATCAACAGCATGTGTAAACATTTCTCAAAAAAGGAAACGTCTTGTGAACATTAGGGACATGAACAAGCATGCAATCTGGATGTAACGGGCACTGGCCAGCCACAACCATCAATACCAGTCACCTTTCTCTGTATCAAAAATGTTTGGCTAACCACTTTAAGACAAAGTGGTACCGACAATGATTATACAGTAAGAAAGCTGATCTGCGTCGGAAACTGAAACGCCAGCAGCAGAGCTTGGTAACTCTGATGATAACGAAACACTGCCAGAGTTCTATTTGAACTGTTGGCATTGCACACTGACTTTGTAACCCTGGGAAGGCTAGGTCCACATGCGTAGCCCATCTTGCAGATGTATTATATATTATATGACACAGCCCCGCATTCCCATTTGTTAGCCAGAGCCATTAGAGTATGAACAAGTATTAGTGGTTCTTAAACTTTATGTTACTATATCTATATTCAAAACAAAATTCTCGGCACCCTTACTGTATAAAATATCATGGGCATTTAAACAATTTTTGAGCCCCATTTTAAATGCCTACCCTCTCCCGATCAGTTCACAGTTTGGAAACTGCTGGTCTTTTGTTTTCCTGCTACACAAAATAAAGATGGGTTTCAGTTTGTTGGTCACTTTTTTGTGGAGAGGTAGCTGAACAGAATATTAAGCACCAATTTACACATTTTTGTTTTAAAAAAAGTATTATTTACTCAATTAAATATGTCCTGTTCTTATGCTGCTCAAAAACTCATTTATTTTTTTATCTTGATCTGGATCTGTTCCCATTGCCTCATTTTGTTTCCTCTGATGCTCTTGCTGCTCTGCAGTGTATATCAGTGGGCCACCAGAAATCTGTTGTTTACTGCTGGAGCCCATCACAGCTTCATTATGTTGATCTGCAAGCATTATCTTGGCAGCTGTGAAGCTACCAGGTGTATAAGGTACAGCTGTTACTACTAAGGAGGATGGTGTCATTTCATCTGCCGATGTTGTGTCATCATTTTTCACATATCTGGTGTCAATTATTGCCATTCTGGGAATCTTTGGTTTTTTTGGTGCCTCCATTTTTTCCAAATTCAAATCACTGCCACTATTGCCAGCCCTTGTGTCTGATACAGGATTGTAAACCGTATGGGTTGGCTGGACCTGGGGTTGCGTATGCTGGGGGGTATCTGCATTATTGAAGTCACTGTTCAATGGCCTACCAGTTGAGTGTGCATACCAAGCTGGGTACTGGTGAAAATTATACATGGAATCCTGAAAATCCACGACCCCACCAACTGAATTCACAGGGGGAGGATAGTTGTAAGACATGTTATTGACATAGGGTAAAGTTGTGCCTGGCCATGTGTGATGAATTTCAGAATTCATGTTAGTTGAAGCAGACTGTGTTTGCACAGATGAGCTGGAAGCAGTTGGGTAAATCATGTTTGAATAATTGGTTTCAGGGCTTAGATAGGTCTCTGATGTCATACAACTTGAAATATCTTTGACTGGTGATGGTGCCCGATCTGGTAAATTTATTTGAGAATAGTCCAAAGTTTGCTCAATATTTTGAACCTCTGGTTTTACATTTACAACTTTTAAGGACTGTTGAAGCCTCTTTGCTCGTAGTTTATCTGAGATTTTAAGTGGCTGGATTTTTTCATTTGGTTTTTCAAAATAAATTGAAGGTGGAGCAAATTCAGTCTCTCGTTCATCCCTTCGCTTTTCTAGATAGGGTTTCACACCAAAATTGGCTTCACGAGACACTGGAATGTTCAAGGAAATCAAAAATTAACATAATGTGTGATTTCTTAAAGGTGAATAAAATTAAGATCACTACACAACTTAATTGATGATGTAAAAATTTGCAAAGCAAGTACTTTGCTTTGTATATCACAAATTACTCTAAATTAAACATATTTCATTTGTGTATATACTGATACTACCTTTTTCTTTATCCCATTCTCTAACGTGGGCTTTACGCCTTTCCTCTGCTTCTTGAGCTTCTTTTTCCCTTTGTAACCTTGTGTTTTCTTCTTCTTGAGTAGGGGAGGTTAAAGCTTCACTAAGCTTTGGACCAAAGTCAACATCTTCTTTATTGGCTAAAGTGAAAATAGGAACAAATAATGAAGCAACAGTCTTAAGACATGAAATAATAAAAAAGCAAATTTAAATGCAGTAAAATGTATATATAGACACTTAGAATATGTCCATAGTAAGTTTGACAATAGAGAATAAAGCATTTCAAAATGTCAACTAGTATTTTACAGTAGATAATTAGGCAATTAACATGCAATATACACTATTTAGTTTCATGTTTAAACAAAAATGTCTCAAACCATGCACCCACAAAATAGATAAACTCATTTTAACAAAATGAATGTGTGAGTTTCATTATATTGCATTCAGGGAAATCATTTTTAACAAAAGACTAGTGATCAGCTCACCTTCTTCAGTCACATCTGCTTTCAATTTCCTTCTTTGCCTCACTTTTGCTAGCCTCTCCTCCATCATGGCTTTTCTTTTGTCTTTGATGTGATCTTTACGAGAACGCTCTTCTAGTGTCTGAGAAATGATATTCAAATATCTTTAAAATTTGTAAATTATTTGTAAGGAAACTTGCTAAAATAATAACACACAAAATAATCCCATACTCTTTATGCTTAAAGGTGTTGCTGGATTAGTACTCACTTCTTTTCGAAAGCTTTTGAGCTTGTCTAATTCTTCCTCCCTCTTTTCATGATCTTTTGAAAACTGGAAGAAGCCAACACCATGATTCCTGATTTCTATTTTTTTGGACAAGGGAATAATATTTTAGAAGTTTAAAGCAGATGACAATGTGGAAAATAATATCACAAATAATAATTCTCTAAGTCTTTATGTAACTCCCCCAAGGCCGGTCCCAAGCCCGGGTGCAAAAGGAGGAGGGTTTGCGTGAGGCCAGCTACCTCACCCGTAAAAACAAATTGCTACAGAAACGTCAACAAGAAAAAACCAACAAATTTCAGCCCTGAGAAGAGAGGACTCTTCTTCTCCAAGAAGACCTATAAAGCCTTGTGGCCAAACCCAGGCTATACTGGAAGCCTTGTGGCCAAACCCAGGCTATACTGGAAGCCTTGTGGCCAAACCCAGGCTATACTGCGAGCCTTGTGGCCAAACCCAGGCTATACTGGAAGCCTCAAGGCCGAAGACCCTCCTTTCTAATGAAACAAACATAGGCACGTGGAACCATGTATGAAGCAGGGAAAGCAGCGCAGGTGGCAGCAGAAATGAGATCTTACAAACTTACACTGCTTGGCATCTGTAAAACAAGATGGATACAAGCTGGGCAAATAACTTTGGACTCTGGAGAAAAACTAGTGTACTCGGGGCATGAGGAGGAAGATGCTCCACACATGCAATGAGTCGCTTTGATGTTGTCAAGGAAGGCACAGGATGCATTGATTGGATAGGAAGCACACAGACCGAGGATAATAACAGCAACCTTCCGAACCAAGAAAAAGAAAATAAAGATGAACATAATACAGTGTTATGCACCCACCAATGATAGCAAAGAAGAAGAGAAAGAAACATTCTATAATAGACTACAAGCACTAAAAGAAAAATTCCCTAATAGAGAACTGAACATCTTAATGGGAGACCTTAACACCAAGATTGGAAAAGACAACAGTGGGTATGAGGAAATCATGGGACGACACGGGGTAGGAGAGAGGAATGAGAACGGAGAAAGACTAGCAGACGTCTGCGCAACAAATGAGCTTGTTATAGGAGGAAGCGAATTTCAACATTAAAACCTCCACAAGACGATATGGGTCGTATCCCCAGACAACAAAACGCAAAACCAAATAGATCACATATGCATTAGCAAAAAATTTAGAACGTCTCTACAAGAAGTACGAGCAAAAAGAGGAGCAGATGTTTCATCCGATCATCATCTTGTTTGGGCGAGACTTAAGTTAAAGCTGAAGAAATACTGGGAACAGCCAACTGCTAAGCAAACCAAATTCAATGTAGGACGTTATAGGAGGAAGCGAATTTCAACATTAAAACCTCCACAAGACGATATGGGTCGTATCCCCAGACAACAAAACGCAAAACCAAATAGATCACATATGCATTAGCAAAAAATTTAGAACGTCTCTACAAGAAGTACGAGCAAAAAGAGGAGCAGATGTTTCATCCGATCATCATCTTGTTTGGGCGAGACTTAAGTTAAAGCTGAAGAAATACTGGGAACAGCCAACTGCTAAGCAAACCAAATTCAATGTAGGACGTTTGGCTAATGAGCAGAAAAGGGAAGAATTCAGTGCTACCTTGAAGAATAAGTTCCAAGTGCTAGAAGATCAAACAGAAGACCAAACAGAAGATGACCAAGTAGAACATATGTGGCAAAGTATAAAGACATCTGTAACATCCACCTGCCAAGAAGTTTTAGGATCAGTGAAACAGAAAAAAAAAGACTGGCTCTCAATAAACACACTACAAAAAATAAAAGAGAGAAAAGAAATGAAAAATATAGTTAACAGCAGCCGCACCAGGGCGGAGAAAACGAAAGCGCAAGAGAGATATAAAGAAGCAAACCAAAAGGTAAAAAACAGCATTAAAAAAGATAAAAATGCCTACATAGATGGCCTAGCGTCGACAGCAGAAGAAGCAGCCAGGAAGGGCAACTTGAAAGAGCTCTACGACATAACAAGAAAACTGTCAGGGAGATACAAAAGGCTGGAGAAACCTGTCAAAGATAGAGAAGGTAGATCTATAACAGAGAGAGCAACAAACAAGATGGATGGAATACTTTAAGGAACTATTAAACAGACCACCACCCACAGACACACCAGACATACAACCAGCAAATGAAGACCTACACATTGAAGAAGGCGCAACAAATAAGGAAGAAATAGCTCTCGCCATCAAGCAACTCAAATTAGGGAAATCACCGGGACCGGACAACATCACAGCAGAGATGATGAGAGCTGATATAGATACAATAGTCAACTTGCTGCTTCTGTGGGAAGAAGAGAGAGTTCCAAAAGCTTGGAAAGAAGGATACCTCATCAAGATCCCAAAGAGAGGGGATCTCAGCAATTGTGCAAATTACAGAGGAATCACACTGCTGTCTGTACCAGGAAAGGTCTTTAACAGAATTATTTTGAACAGAATGAAAGACCAGATCGACATGCAGCTACGAGATCAACAGGCTGGCTTCCGCCAAAACAGATCATAAACAGATCATGCACAGATCAAATAGCAACACTAAGAATCATTGTAGAACAGTCCATCGAATGGAACTCCTCCCTATATATAAATTTTATAGACTACGAAAAGGCCTTTGATAGCCTGGACCGACAAACCTTGTGGAAACTTCTTCGGCACTATGGAGTACCAGGGAAACTAGTCAGGATCATTCAGAGCTCTTATGAAGAAATGACATGCAGGGTGGTCCACGAAGGTAGACTCACAGATTCCTTTACAGTCAGACAAGGATGCCTCTTGTCCCCATTTCTATTCATCCTTGCCATTGACTGGATAATGAAAGAATCCACAGACAAAAGGAGGAATGGGATACAGTGGACTCTCTGGGAACAACTGAATGATTTAGACTTTGCAGACGACATTGCACTTCTGTCCCACAACCAGCAACAAATGCAGGAAAAGACAAAAGACGTAGCCACCTTTTCAGCACAGCTTGGTCTCAGTATAAATAAAAGCAAGACAAAAATCATGAAGGTAAACCCATCCAACCATGAGCATATCTATCTGGCAGAAAAGGCACTGGAAGAAGTGGAGTCCTTCACATACCTAGGCAGCACCATAGACACAAATGGCGGATCCGATGCAGACGTAAGGGCCAGAATTGGAAAAGCTAGATCGGCATTTGTACTATTAAAGAAAATATGGGAGTCGAAGGAGCTGAAACTGCAAACCAGAATCTTTAATAAAAATGTCAAAACAGTCCTACTATATGGTGCAGAAACTTGGAAAACAACAGCGAGCCTTATGCAGAAAGTGCAGACATTCATAAACACATGCCTTAGAAAAATCCTGAAAATCAAATGGCCAAATACTATCAACAACAAAGATCTACTAGAAAGGACACATCAGGTGCCCATTGATGAAGATATCATAAAGAAGAGGTGGAGATGGATAGGGCATACGCTCCGAAAACCCCCAGATAGCACCACCAGACAATGCCTAACATGGAACCCACAGGGAAAAAGAAAGAGAGGAAAGCCTAAGAATACATGGAGACGCGAGCTAGAGGCATACAGGCAAAATATGGGATACACCTGGAAGCAATTGGAAAGGAAAGCACAGGACCGTGAGGAGTGGAAAGTTCTTGTAGACGGCCTATGCCCCAGACGGGGTAGAAAGGCATAAGTAAGTAAGTAAGTCTTTATGTATGTATTATGTCTGGTTGTAATGTTGCATTCATTAGATGCACAAAATAAAATTGGCATGTTTTTATTAAGTTTATTTCTTGAATGAATGTTTTGTCAAGTAACTTTAGCAGTATTAGCAGATAGGAAGTTGACACATTGTCACATCATTGTTTGGCGAGTAATTTCTAGCTTAAAAGATTTCTGTACTACTTTCCATCAATAATAATTATTTCACTGACCATCATACTGGACATTAGAGTAATGAATGTCATTTTGAGACTTCTCAACAAGTTCTTTAGCTTCATTTTCCCATTTTTGCCTCATCATCTCTCTGTGCATATCTGATGACATCAGATGGGGCAAGGTTAGATCATAGTCATCTGCGCCCTGTCCTTGCATCAAGTTTTTTTTAGATTGTGCTCTGATGAAAAGACAAATTTAAAAAAAACTGCATCACACAAACAAATTTATAATAAATTATAATTGAAATTTTAGGGGGAGAAAAGTTTAAAAGGTGTTGAATTACATTTGGTAATATAAAATGCTTACAGTGCAAGTTCTTTATCTTTCTTCAAAAGTAGATCCAAATCTTTTTTCATACAGCATCGCTGTCTGCCAAGTGAGTCAGTAAATTCAACCCTAAAATCATGATTAAATAGTATAATATCAGTGTAACTGGCATATAAAATTATTTATTGAACTTACATCCCCTTGAATCTCTGGCTACAGAAAACATAATAAATTATTTTTTCAATTGGACTAAGGATTCTGTTAAACTATTTTACCCAAACATAATGACGAAAATTCAATCCTTAACTTTACCATTCCTGATCAGGGTCTAAAGGTTCTGGGATTTCAGAGGCAAGTTCATGATCTTCTGCTTCCTTTTCCTGTTCCTCTTCTCTCCTCTTTGTTTCTCTCTCTGCTACTATTGAGTCTATTGCTTTCTTCTGGAAATCTACCAGATAGTATCCACTTCCATCTTCCTCTTTCAAAAAAAATAAATCATGGCAAATAATACATGCTTCAGCAGTATTAAAATTAAGATAATTTAAATACACAAAATGAATCTTATAAATTTAAAAAAAGTTACTTTAAAATAAAAATGTAACATTTATTTTTAGAAATTTACTGTAACAGAGTCTAGATTCAAATATCTATACGATTTACTACATTAATACAAAGTTATTAAATACCTGGTATATCAGAACTATGTGTAATCTTGTCATACAGTTTTGACTTTTCTTCAAGAGCTTTGCTACAAGTAAATAAAACAACAGACTGTAGTATCACTATTTAAAATCTATTTAAGCACTTAAAGGTAAAATATTTTAATATGTTCCAGCATCAAACAAATTTTATATGTTTACACCAGATTACAGATCACAACATAAAAAATCAAATATGGAGAAAGTGGAGGCATACAAGTACTTAGGTGTCACCATTAATAATAAGCTAACATGGCCGGAGCATGGCCAAATGCTGTATAAAAAATTCAACCAAAGACCGATCTACCTCAAAAAACTGTACAATTTTGGCGTAAACAAGCAAGTTGTTAACTTATTCTATAGTGCAACTATTGGAAGCCTGCTTAATTTCAGTATTACCTGCCAGTGTGGGAATTCAACGTCTGATATTAAACACCGCATAAAAACGATTAATCAAGAAAGCTAGGAACATAACACAAACTAAACATCCTTCACTTAAAGAACTATTTGAAGAAAGATGTTTTTGCTAAACTAAACACATTTTGGATGATACATCCCACCCTCTTCATCACAGATACTTAGGATCTGGCCGTTCGGGACGAATTCTTTCCATCAGGGCGAGGACTGACAGATAAAAAAATTATTTGTTCCCCAATCTGTACGAATTTACCGGCGTGCTTCCTCTGAAGTCACACATCTGAATGAGAACTAATAAGTCCCCGATTTTGCTAAGAGAACTCACTGAATGGCTGTTTGAAATAATTTATCATAAATGTCTTGTGTTCAAATTATTTTATTTTTGTGCTGAAAATGTATAATGCAATCAAAAAACATTTCCATTTATTTAGATAAATAAAAGAATCTTATCTTAAAAAAAAATACTAACCGCGATTTAAGAAGCATTTCTTCTTCCTCATCATTTTTAGGTCTGTCTTCAATATCTTGTTGTGCTCTTGCTTGAACACCTGGATTTTGACGGTTACATAATGTATTCTTTGAGCTCTGTAGAGATTTTTATAAAGTAACCTTTTTTTATTTATCTTTTTAAGAACTTAAAACAACATAAACATTTTTAACTGTGCACAAATCAATTAAATTACTGATTTTTAAACTTAATTATTACAAGTATGCTATGATAAAATATCAGCAGGTCTCTTTGTTTACAGTTACACATTTAAGTCATAAAATAGAACAGCAGAGCAAATGTTAAGGGACAGCATGAAATTAATATTATACAGATGATAACGTGTTACATAACAGTAAATTAGTATTTTTACCTTCTCAGTTTTTTTAGCTCGTACAAATTCAGAATTAGCTAATTTTTGCTGCCTGAATTCCTCTTGCTTACGAAAAAGCTCTGCTTTGAGATCCACCATCTATTTAATAAAAAAGTAATATTACTGAAATATTATAATTTATTGCCTAAAAATATGTAAAAAAAAGCTAAAATTTTATAGTTATACCAACAAAAATTCTTATACACTTATAATAAGAGAATGTTCTAATTACAACAACAAACAGAACAAGTTTATTTAATTTTAAATTTGAAGAGTATAATTTTTAATGAAGTGTAATCTAGTTTATCTATAAAAGTATATAATAATACACATAATTTGTATGAAAAATTATAATTTTGGCGCCCTCTTAAGGTTGGCTCCCAGGTGGATGCCCCCTTCATAAAGCTCTGGCAGCTAGGGCGAAGGGGTATAAAAATTTTACTTTTTAAAGGTACTAATAATATATGGATTGCAAAGTATGTGACCATTACCCAAGTGTTTTATTTTAATTGTTTATTTCTGATGATGGAAAAAAAAGGGGGGTGTGGGGGGAATGTAAAAAAAATCAGATTTCAACATTGAAAAAATATAAATATTTGCTAAAAGTAAAAATAAAACACTATACCTTACTGACCCCTTCCCTTAGTTTTCCCCTGGGCCTAAAGTTAAGTTACACTTGAGCTTGACCTCATTTTACTGACTTTACATTTTAACTTTACAGTGACGCTTTTACTTGTACAATTTACAGTTATAGTACTGAGGAGGAGTACACTTACATAAATTCTCGACATTGTCACATACAATACTGGGGAGTATCAATCATTGTAGCCTACATCACTTACACTCTCCACAGTGTCAGGTACAGTAGTACACTTTGTTAGTGAGTACACTCAGTACAGCCACAGGCCCTCCTGGGGTCTTGTCTACGCGTAAAACTAAAACTCTAAAATGAGTCTTACACTAAAGCTCACACTCACTTTCTCAACTGTCTGTTAGTCTGTGACTAACTCACTAAACTAAACTAAAAGTAAACAAAAGTGACTAAGTCTAAACTAAGTCTAAGACTCTAACTCAGGGGTCTCAAACTCAAATTATCCAGGGGCCGCAGGATGTAGAGTCTGAGTGAGACTGGGCCGCAACAAGTATTCCACAAAAAGTGGTTATAAATTTAATAAAGTACAACTGTTTCAATCTGCTCAACCTTTATTAAAAACAAATAAAAACATTAAGTCTAAGTATTCTCAAGAACCAGGCCGTAACATTACATGTCATTGTTAACGGCATTATATCCTTAGTAAGAAAATAAAATTCCAGGTGATCTAAGGTAGAAGTATTTAGCTAATAAATGCTATGAAAATAACAAGCATCTAGTAATACAAAAAAATAATAAAATTAAAATAAATATATGACGATTCACACTATCTATTTTAAAACTAAAATGTATTCAAACAGAAGTAGGGAATGGGGCAATATTTAAGATTTATTTTTGCTAAGAAAGATTCTATTGTAGGGAGAATGAATTTTGATATTTTTTAATCGTATAAAAGGCCTTTTTGACCAAGCTGACATGCTCTGAATTTCCCTCAATCGTTACTAGCTGCAATTTTAATAGGAAAGCTTTGATACTGTGTCAGATTGCTACAATTTACACAATTATGATTGTGCATTAACCACTAACTGACTTTTTAAACTTGTGATATATTTATGTATAGATAATATTCGAAGCGTGTTTTCTCAAACCAAGACCACACTTTGGCAATGTTTGTCTCAGAAAATGCTATAAAATAAAAACTGTTTGACCGATTTTAAAATGTATTTACCATTATATTATAGGCCTAATCAACGTCCAAAATTATACAATAATAATACTAGAAATCAGAATTAGACTAATAATCGGTGAGATTCCACTGAAATGGTCGTGGAGTGTCACATTCACATTAAACTTAGAATAGATTTAGATATGAGACTGGGGAAAACATGCAGGCCGCATTAATTCCAAACTGGTGGCGTGCCGCAAAATATCATCTTGCGGGCCGCAAATGGCCCGTGGGCCACGAGTTTGAGACCCCTGCTCTAACTCTAAGTGAGTTTTAGTAGTTAGTTGTACTTGACTTTGTAAGTTTGTACTAGTTGGTTAAAATTAAAAGTTACTAACTCAAAACACAAAAACTGAATTAATTTGTAAATAAATAGGTTACTATTAATTATAAATAGTTATAAATAAAAACAATTTGAAAGCAATATAACTTACAGAGGAGGATAACAAAATCTTTTTCTTGTCTTCACTCATTTTACTTAGTTCTAGTGAGAAAGTTTCGGAAAGAATCTGAAATCAGAATTAGTTTACAGTAAAGATAAGTGATTGTTGTGTTTATATTAAAAAAAAAAAAATCTGAAACCGGAAATGACTAAAGTCAAGCAATAACGGTAACTACCACTTAGTTCTTGCAATCAAGTACGATAACACAAAGGAGAAGTATAGCACAATTGTCACTTACTAGACCCACCATGACTAATAATTTAAGATGTCAGGAAAAAAAACAAACTATTCTGACAATAATTTTACAGCTCTAATGAATGATAAAAATAGTTATTTGCTTTAAATTTAAAAGTAAAGCTGAAACACGCATTTTCCGATAATAAATTTTAATTGAACTATTATTGAGTTTTAAATAAAAAGGTTTTAGTTTTAATTTAATTTTTTATTTGTAATTGTAAGCTGCCATTAATTTTATGCTAATTGTTCATTTAACAATCTTTTAATGAATATAATGTATAGAATTATTTAGATATACCCCATCTAAATTTAATTAAATACAATTTTGTCGGTAGAAGAGTGATGATATTGATATGCAGCATGCACAATGACGTCAATGAACATGCTATGCAACATCAATTCAAGAGAACTTAAGGCTTTAACTCCTTTAGCTTATGTTATGACTTTCTGTAGTTAAGCCTCATTTTTTAACAATTCAATTCGAATTGTTATAGCCTGTGTTTTGACCTAGTTTGTGTTCACCACGAGCCGTTGTGTTCAACCTTAACTCTTAACCCGACCCACTTATGATATTTTTGTGTCACCAATTAAATGTGTAGCGCTTTATAATTAATTACCATCCTCCCTTGACTGGGAAAACGCTGTTTAGGTTATTAGTTAGTCCTAAAGAATGCTATCGGGTTATGCAGTTTTTAGCTTTTCCAATCTGGAAGGTTCTAACTCCCTCCCTAAAAAGAGATTTTTTGCTATCTTTCAATGGACACTTACCAAACTTAATATACTTAAGATTGTAGGCCTACTCTTTGCGTGCGTGCAAAGGCCTTTGTGTGTAGGCCTATAGGATTAATATTTGTATCTTTCAAGGATTATACTTTTCTACTTGCTGTGCTGTAAGTGTAAGTTAATATAGCTTTTATTTCTGTATATTTGATTTTGTATTTGTAGGTAAATGTAAGAGTACCTATAATTAAATTGAATATTGTTCACATCACTAGCTTTGGTATCGTTTTTCTTTATATACTGGTTTCCAGTCTTTCGTTATGTACCATTCATATAACGTGCAAAACATGAAAAGAAATTAAATTTGCAAAACCATATAACGGTACGTGACAGACTCAATAAGAAGAGTAATACATTGGTCATTGGGTTACCAGAAATTTGATCGAAAGAAATTTCGTCGACGGTAAATTGATCAAAAGAAATTTGATCGAACGGAAATTTGGTCGAACCTTTTTTTCAGTTCAGACGTTGAAATTTTCGTCGAATTTCTTTTTCAACGCACTATACTATATTGCTAAACAAAATAATGCGTTGGAAAAAAATTTTAGGCAAAAGTTTTAACGCAAAAACTGAAAAAAGTTTTGACAAAATTTCCGTTCGATCAAATTACCGTCGATCAATTTACCGTCGACGAAATTTCTTTCCATCAAATTTCCGGATACGAATACATTGATGGCTATTGAATAAATGTAGACCCAAATTAGATGCTAAGCCCAATTAATGACAAATATGATTTCTTTTTTTTTGTTATTTCTTTTTTTTTTTATTTCTCTAAAAAATATTAAGTTAAACTAATATGTTACCATTAAAATAATGTTGTAAATATATGCGGACGTACGCTTTTAAAGGGAGAAAATAACGTATTCTTATTTTAATAATTTTGGCACTGGTTCCTCCATCAAAATGGATACATTCCATGACACTGAAAAGTGAAAAGTACCAGAAGTAATGGCTTGTGTGAAAAAATAAAGACCACTTAAAGTAAGAAAATTTTTCAGTTCTTGTGTGTTCTTGACTAAAATATTCTGGATCTTCCCACAAACCCCTGTCATTGTCTCCTAATCAAGAGCCCCGGCCGAAGTCTGCATTCCATAATGGAATTGCTGCGACATGGAAACAAGCATTCATACTTGGCCACCAGTTTACAAAAAAACCTCCTCTGCTTACAATGTCGAAAGTTTTGGTAAATTCAACGTAAGTGGAGAAGACGTTGAGATTGTATCTACTGATGATACCATGTGAATTTCCGGACAACATCCGTGTGACGCTTGTCTGGCATCAGTCCCCTCTCAAGATGCACCCTGAGGCGGTTCATCATGCCAGCGATTGTAAGAAGCGATATGTAAGGACAAAACTGGCGAATGCAATGGGCATAGTGATATGAGTTTTCTCTGACCCCTTTCTCAGCTTTTGAGATGGCTAGATCAGTTGTTCTCAAAGTGGTTTTTAAGGGCGTTTGGAATTCCAAAAAGGTGACCAGATTTTTCTGCGGGTAACATGTGACCCAGAGGTTTTTGGTGTAATAACCTGGGGGTGGGGGAAGCCCCCCACCCCTTTTTTTCCATCCCGAAGCGAAAAGCGGTTGGTGAAAACTGACCTAAAGACACAATTTCCTCAAGGGCAAAGATAACTTCATTAGTACCTATACAAGTAGACCGTTACTGTATGTCATGGACGTAGCAAAACCTTGCATTGTGTTGATCAGGAATTGCAGTTGAAATATTTGTGATCAATAAAATAGAAAAGTACCAGAAATGTTTTGTGAGGTATTTAATACTTTCTGAGTCTGAGATTAAACATGTGGAAAGACAGGGGGCGCTCGGGGTGAGTTTAAGGCTCCAAGGTGGGCGCTGACCCGAACAGTTTAAGAACCAATGGACTAGTAGTCCCTGATACTGAGGTCGTACAATGAGCTAATGCGGGTGTGATAAGTCATTTGCTCTCAGGCTCAATGTGTCCAACTTATTGGTCCTCTGCATTTATAGTAAGGTCTTACTAGCTAATTAGCAGCCACAGGAAAAGGCCTGTGCAATATGTTTAAAACAAATGATATAACATAATGGGCAAAGAAAGCTGTTTGCGCCCTCAACTGCAATATAAATTGTGCCTTTTTAAGATTTGAAGTTTTGAGCCTACGTGTGGTAGTTATCACCTATATTCCCATAATAACGATCCTCAGATGTCTGGCTTTGTTGGAGTTTATTCTTCAGATTGCAATGAATTTGCCTATTCTTATACTGTTTTTCCCCTAATCTACTTCCATATCTGTATTATTTACGCTTCATTTGTTCATTTGCACTTTGGTGAAACCATATCACAACCTTCCTACAATGTTATAACACAAGGTTAGTTCTCCCTCACTGTGATAGTGTTCGAATTGATCATTATTTGTGTATAGTGGCATGTTGCCGACACACCGGACTACTTCGCGAACATCATTCTTAAAATTAAAAGAAAACATACACGTTTTTTTAAAAAAAAAAAGTCCCTAATAGCACTAATATTAGTGTATAGTAGTAATGGTTATGTCAACGGATACTATTTCTAACAGAAAATGTTCAAAATCAACTGTAGTCTCCTGGGTCACACCTCCCCTGTAAAATATCCAAGTATTACTACCTCTCAGGCTCAGTATGTAACGCCACTTATGTCATGTAGACTGTAGACAAAAACAGAGATTATGGAACTTCTCAAGCTTGCACTAGTTTAATGAATCAAAATAAGTTCCCAACCCCATCCCGAGAATTATTAATACATATAACATATATATCTGATCTGCTCTACTATCATAACTTGTATATTTTCCTGGTGGATGGGACTCGTTAGCCTTGGATGGCACCTCACCTATAAGAAGGATAAAGTGGTGGATGAGACTCGTTAGCCTTGGATGGCATCGCGCCTATGAGAAGGAAAAACTCTGAATTCAAACCCGGAGATGCAGTCCCGTGGGCGGATAACATTGACTTTTGGTGTAATGAAAATTCAGACAACGTCAGCGGCACTACTGAAGCTATACTATATCATTATTATCATTCACATATGATGTTCCCATTGGTTTTCCAGCCGCGTGGAGAGAGGCGATTTGTTGTCTAGGGAACCAACTTATCCTACTAAAGAATCCTGGGGCTTGTGATTTCGTTCTCTAAAGTTTTTTTTTACTGTGATCTGATACTTGTTATACTTCTTTTTGTTCTGTTTTCTGATGAATGCTCTAAGCAGACACGTCAAAATCTGTTGTCTATGAATTCAAGTTTAGCATATCTTGTTCTTATATTTTATTTACACAACTTGAATGAAATCCATTAATTATTATACTTTTTTTAGTACCATTACCAGTATCCTTTTTGTTATAATTTTAGATGTGTTAGTTTTGGTTAAGTTTTGTACCATTTGAATTAGATATTTAGAGAGGTTAATAAAGACAGTTGCCAAACCCATGAACCTGTGACAGCTATCCAGGCATTTCTCTACTTCCCATAACTGAGAACATCTTTGCCAGAGTCCTAAATCGCTTACAACTACACCTAAAACTGGGACTACTACCTGAAAACAAATGTGGATTTTGATCAGAAAGGGGCACGGCTGACATGATATTTGCAGCACGCTAGCTCCAGGAAAAATGTCAAGAGCAACACAGTGACATGTTTATCACCGTTGTTGATCTGACCAAAGCATTTGACTCAGTCAGTAGAAATGACCTGTGGAAGATAATGGAGAAATTTGGCTGCCTGAGTAGATTTGTTACAAAAGTTCGTCAACTCCATGATGGCCAGGGTGATGGATTCTGGAGATGAGTCAGTAGCTTTTCTTGTACTTAAAGGTGTAAAACAAGGCTGCGTTCTAGCCTCAACTCTTTTTAGCATGGTATTCTCAGCAATGCTGACTGATGCTTTTCTTGACAATAGTGACAGCATTCCTATAAGTTACCGGACAGAAGGAGACGGGAGACTGCAAGCTGTTAAGAAAGTTAAAGAGCGCTGATGACTGTGCCCTAAATTGCAAGTTCGGATCTAAAAATGCAGCAAACACTTGATCACTTTGCAAAGGCTTGTGACAACTACGGCCTCGCCATCAATACAAAAAAAATCCTCGAGCCAGCTCCAGGAAAAGCTTTGAAAGAACCTAAATATCAATGAAGAGACAGAGTTTCCAAACAGTAGAAAAATTCACATATTAGGGCCGCACCATCTCCACAATGGGCTTATTGTATCAGTATCCTCCTGCTCCTACGAAAAGACAAGCCAGATCGGCAGGGCATATCACAACAATACCAGACAGCAGACTACCCAAAACGACTAATGTTTGGTGAACTCTCCAGTGGGAAACGCTCAGCTTGTGAGCTATCCTCCTGCTCCTACGAAAAGACAAGCCAGATCGGCAGGGCATATCACAACAATACCAGACAGCAGACTACCCAAAACGACTAATGTTTGGTGAACTCTCCAGTGGGAAACGCTCAGCTTGTGAGCAGAAAAAACATTTATAGGACTGTCTACAAGCTTTACACAAATCCACAATGACTCGTGGGAGATACTTGCTATGGACTGTACAAGCTGGCATGGCAGACTCACTGTCGGAGCAAAATCCTCAAAGAGTAAAAGCACCGCTCACGCCCAATGAAGGCAAGGAAACAAAAAATAATGTGTGTCCATGTGCGGGAAAACTGCATGTGAAGGACAAACAACAAACGAGACCAATTAAAATAGTTTCTATGCTATAGATTACAAATCCTGTAATACTTGTGTTTAACTAAGAAACTGATCTTCTCTGTAACCACAGACTTGGGTTACTCAAAATTATTGTTTGCAAGAACGTTTATAAAAAAAATTATGCAAATTTTCTGCTATAATTTATGTTTGAAATGCTAGTCGGTCTGAAAAATTAGCAAATATAGGGTACATATATTATATTGAAAAAAATACTAAGACCAACAGTCACAATTAGAATTTTAAAAATTTGCCATTTTACAAGATGTTTATTAAAACATTTCTAAATAACTAAATATGATAAACAGTGTTGAAACAGTAAGGTGTTTACCATACATTCCAACAGGCAGTGCAAACCCTTACATCATTCTTCATCAATTATTCATCATCAGTTAACATCATAATACAAACCTTAACATGCAAATATATTTATACACCTTACAAAGTGATATTTCTGTACATAATATAATGAGTGAGATCTATATATCTATATGTAAAATAGAAAAATACACATTGAAAATCCAGTTACAGCATCAAACCTTAACATGCAAATATATTTATACACCTTACAAAGTGATATTTCTGTACATAATATAATGAGTGAGATCTATATATCTATATGTAAAATAGAAAAATACACATTGAAAATCCAGTTACAGCACCTTGAGCACTGCACATGTCTCTGCATTGAGTACATTATCTCTTGTCGCAAAATGAGGGCTGAGAAACCTGACAGGAAGTCTTTCAAGCTCAAACTCATAAAATGTTAAATGTTGGCTGTGAAGCAGAGAATGCCTGGATGATGAAGTCTCCTCTCATCTTGAGTTCAGATAGGCAAGCACTTTACTCGTCACTCTGTAAGAAAAAGAGAATAGAAGAAACATAAGTGGAAACAACAAAAGAATCATAAAGGCTATCAGTGAACAAAACAATATAGAAATACATCATGATCTATTAATGTCCATGAACACAACACAATTTCTCTCATCTCTCAAACTATATGTTTAAAGCTTTTCTGTATCAAGAGTACCCTCCCTCAAGCAAGATTAATTTTAAAGTATAAGTTAATCCAAGAAATCACACATTATAAAACAACTCCAGATGATAAGATTGTCAAAGTGTAGAAGAAGCAAAAATTTAAAGGTAAACTTTAAGAAACAAACTTATGTGATGGAAATGTTTTAAGAACTGATCATGATGTTTAACTATATAGAATGATATGAGTTTTAGGTGACTGTTCTGCAATGGTCACTTACAACTGTTGGAGTCTTTGCCCTTTTTCTGTTTACCTTCAGATCTGATAGTAGAACAAAAAAGTACACAGAGATTGCCATTATTAAGACACTCCCAACAGATGTTTTTAATCGCCACAATTTTCTGCATTCTTTACAATAACATAATAATCGACCAAGAACTGATAGTCGAATCAGGGGCAAATTTGAGATTCATAAAATATATACAAAATGCAAACAAATTTAAATGTATTGCATTCTTTTGTCATAAAAAGTAAAAAACTAGCCCTAGGTTATAAAACATGTGGCACACAAATAGTTTTGCTATACATTTTGTAAAGAGGCACAGTGCTTAACTATCTTAAAATTTGCCAATGTAAGCCATTGAATTGTCCTCATGCAAACCTTGCAGTAACTGGTAGTTTAAGACCTTTCAAAAAGCCGTTGAAAAATAATGTTCAGAAATGAAAATTTGTTAAATACTGATCCAGAACTGAAATGCTGGTATTTTTTGAGTCGAAACACCCTTTATACAGTTAGGCAAAGATTTTGGTAACGGTACTTTAAAACAAAAATTTACATCATAATTTTTTGAATAACTTATCAAAAACAAGCTTTCCTCACCTGCTTCTTGCTTTACTTTTAGCTGACTTTTTGTGTTTGGACGCAGATTTCATGACTTTGCCGGTAGATGCTGTATTTGCTGGGATATTGCCACTGCTTGCCGTACTGCCAGTTGGAGAACTTGCCCCATTAGTTTGTACAGCTGGTGTTGTTGTATTAGATTCGGGGCTCGCAGGCTCTCCTTCAAAAGCAAATGAAAAGTAGTTACATCAGAACTCAGAATAATTAAATTAAATTTCCTTTTATTCATCACATGTTTAACAAACATTTTTTATATCACATGTCAGTCCCCATGTTTGTCTAATATTGTTTATATAATTTTATTTCTAAGATGGCAAAAATATAAAATCCAAGTTGCCAGATCCAAAAAAACAAGTTTTTATCTCTTCTCTGTTTGTAAGCAACAGATGGGAAATGCTGCTTAAAAAATGTTGCACAATGATAAAGAAGTGTTTAAAAGAATGTGAAGAAACATTTAAAAAATGCAACATACTTTTTTCATTCTCAGCAACACCAGCTACTGCCTGTAGAAGAAGTAGAAAAAAAATATAATCCCACATCTAATAATGCACACATGTATTTATATAATATAATATAAACCCACTAGCTTGTAAATTAGGATACCAAAATATTTTTTTTAAAAATCATAGGGTACTTATAACACACTCACAATTAACAAAATACAGCATATAAAAAAACTGATTAAACATAAATATAAATACTTTTCAGATATTTTATAATTAATAGTATGTTGAATTAAGTACGAAGCTTACTGCTGCTGACGTCACCGACGACTTGGAGAATAATCTATCTGCTTCTTTGAATTTTCTGTTACGTTTATCTGCCTTGCTATTAGTATTTCTAAAAGTATGAAAGAAAGAGATAGCATTGCTCCCAAGTATGAATTTTAAAAAAATTTCAACATTACTCCATCAATGTCAATAAGCTAATACTAATACCGGTAAAATGAGAAACAAAAATATGGCTATTCAAACAGATAAGTATGTTTATGCAATATTTGAAATAAAAAATATAATAATACTAACTTTGTATTCGTGAGGTATCTGTCCCATCCCTTGATGATGTTTCCATACAATTGAGTATCCTCTAAATAGCTGCCTTCAAATGCATAGATTTGTCTTTCTAAATTATGAAGTGTGTCCTGGTAAAAGAAAATGATTAGTGTTAGGCCCTAATTTAAGTAATAACATTTTATCATTTTTATTGCTGTTAATTACTGCCATTATGAGTAAAATGATACTAGGCTTAACACCACCAAAAAGAAATACTTATAATATTAAGTACTTGCAATTACTGGATACTAGTAATATCATATTCCAATAACACTTCAAATCTGAAGTGTTTATTCTTTACAGCTATTTTAGGAAAAGTACTTATCAATTATTGAAGTAAATTTTAATTTTAAAAAATATTATTAAAAAGAAAAGTCACTAAAAAAAAATACTGCCTATCTATATTTTCTAGTATAGTAAACATTGCAACCACAATCAGCTCCAGATTAACAGCCTTTAGTTATTAGTAGTAAACATTATATTAAACAATTTTCTTAGTTAATTAGCCCTTTCGAAACAGCAACATTTCTTAAAAAGTAACATCAAGTTTTTCAGACATCAGCTCCTGAAAGCATTGCACCACCTGTGGATTTAAGAGGTCATTTCTTAACCATTAACTTCCCATTGCCTTGACCGTAAAACATCCATATTATTAACCCAAGGTAAGGGAAAGAACTGTAAATAACTAATTAAGTTCTTTTACAAAATTAAATGCATCTCACCAAGATTAGAATTATCTATCAGATGATACTAAATATGTATGGGTGTATTAAATAAGTTACATATGTAAAAAAATTATAAAAGTTGAAAAATATGTTAAAAATTCATCCAGATGATACCAAATGTGTATGGGTGTGTTATATAGCTACACACATACTAAAAAAATTATGTTAAAAATTCTATTTTACAGGATAATTTCTTTGCTTTTATTATTAAACCAGTTCCTCAGTTTAGTTTTGACGGAAATGAGCTAAACTCATCATAAAGGTGTATATTACACAAAAAAATCCAAACACACTTTTGTTTGACTCAGTGCCAATGTTTTACTGCTGATACTGGAAACTTAGTTTTTACAACCTGGGAGCAGAATCCTGGGATGCTCCAAAGAAGTTCCTGAAACAGTCAAACCACCAGCAGCATGCACTTCCACATGTCTTCTTCTTTTTTTTAGACCCTTTCATAAGGCTACGGGAAATGTCCATAAGAAAATTAAAATGGGACATTAGCTTTGATGTTGGGGCATGGTATATTCTTACATTAGATGAATACATTCAATATTGAGATTTTAAAAATTAAATTTAAGCACAACTCTTGATGTCAATTTCCACTGGATCAAGAGTAGTTAGAGTAGCACTCCAGGGAAGAGACTCTTTTGCAGATGCTTCACTATTACTATCACTATCGTCACAACTCTCATTTTCAATATCACGATTATTATCACTTTCACTTCAAATGCTATCACTTTCATTAGTATTGTTTGAAACATTTGACGTTGAAGGCTGAACCAAACATTTTAAGTATTTAAAAAATTCCCCAAAATTTCATATTTCTTATTTATTTCATTTCAATAAAAAGTAAGAACTCTTCTACTTTCCAACTATTCAACTATACCTGGTTTAACATTTTAAACCAATGTTTTATGGGCCAATTCATAATTCATTTGGTATACCCACAATGGGGTTACAGTGTGCAATACAGTAGATACTTCGTCGAAGCAAGAGACACTCCCAGAAAATTTGTATCGGAAATGGTCGTCGGCGCAATAGAATCCGAGTTTTTAATTTTTTTATATGCATGTAATTTTAATTTTCATATTTAATTCTGATAAACACAAGATATTGATGTGTATGTATGCAAATTCTCATTGATGTAGGTCGTTCCAACGTTCGCTACGCATGTCCAAGTAACCTGCATTACCATATTCGACATGGCGTGGGCCACGTCCCCTTTTTAATGGCGGAAGTTGCCGATACTTAGGAAATATTTAATTATTACCACCATATACATCAAAATATTTGATAACTTGTGTTTCAGAATGCATTTTGAAGACATTTAAACTGGAATGTTTTAATTTGAGCTTTAAAAACCCTGTAGAGTCCATAATCATAAATGATCAGAATTTTCCGTGTGCAACACGTTGTCATTGGCAACCATAGCCACTTGCATAACGGCTATATCGTAGTACTATCTCAGAGTTCCATTCATAAAAATTTGCCGTGTACAAAAAATATTAAACCATTGGTCAGGGAAAGCTTTAATTAATTAAAGCCTTAGATGTGTTGCCTTATATAAACTATATAGTCATTGGGCATGACGCGATCAGCGGAATGAGGTCACAGAAAGTGGAGATGGAGTCCATGTTAAAAAAGGACAAACCAAGTCGTACTTTAAAAATTCATAACTTTAAAACTACAACAGCTAAAAATATGATTTAGGTGTTATAATTCTGTAAAAAAATTAGCTCTATTCAACTATGCCATTGGTTTATTTTTACAAAATGTTTAAATTTTTGACAAAAGTATCTAAATACATTATAAAACGCTAGTAAAGTACAGTTACTAAGTTACTTGAGTTACTGACACTACTAATGCTAACACCAACAGAAACTGAAATTAATATAAATTAATATAATCACAATAATCAATAATAATAATATAAATAATGTTAAAATGTGGGCCCTATAAAAATACCAATTTTAATAGCAGTAAGATTAATTATTATAATTAACTCTCTTTTATAAAAAATATATATATATAAAATCCAAATTTTAATTTTATTAAAAGAGTGTAAAGTATAAATACCCCAAAAGTAACACAAAATGGAAATTCAGAAAAGTATCCAGTCAAATTATGGTCCAAAGTAAGCCTGTATTATGAGCCTGATTATACTATCTCAAAATATGACGTTAATATTCAAGATTAAACAACTTATGCCATGATTCCAATAATTTTACGATAAATCGGAAAGATGTTGACCAACTTACAGCGATTTCCGATCGTCTGCGTACAAGCTCATTCAGTTCTGCGCGGCTATCAAGAGTATGCGACTTCGACGCCATTTGTAAAACATTCAACAATAACAACGCAAAAACAACAACGAAAGTTAAAACGAAACGAAGTACTTCTTAGAAAAACAAAAAAAATTCCACTAGCATATCTAACTTTGTAATGGCGGATAATTTAAACTTGTAACAATGACAACTACACATTATCATCCGATATGAATTATGAACTTGACTAACGAGTTGTCCCAGTCTTAGTCTAAGTTGGTCTAAGTCTTGGGCGTAAGCGGCCTAAGACCTGTCCTGTCTGTGAAGCTGAAGTGAAGTAAACTGAAACTGTAAACAAACAACTGTGTAACTGTAAAGAGTAAAGAAAGTAAAGTGTAAAGTACAGTAAAGTAACTAAAAAAAAGTTTTGTTTTAAGTTTTACTAGTACTAGTACTAGTATAAAGTAACTTTAGTGTTACTTTCGATTAGAAGATTAAGTTTTAAGTAAGTTTCTTTTCTTTTCCATGCTTGGATTCCCAGCTGCTTTAGACTTTAGATCTTTTTTCACATCAAACCACCCATCTAAGCCTAGGTTTGCCTTTGAGCCGTTTTTCTCTGGAGTTTAGTGGTGCACCCTCTTCACTCCTCTGTCATTTGGCATTCTTTCAAAATGTCCATCCTTGCTTGTAGCGTGGGATCCTGATATAGACTATACAATTCCTGGTTGGTTCGTATATTTCCGTGGATAACTTTTCTCCCCCATGTGTTTAATAGGTTTTCTGCCATTTTGGTTAAGGTTCAAGTGCGACTGGCATATGTATGTTACAGCTGGTCTGATTACAGTTTTATGTAGGCCCTATAGTTTTATTTGTTTTTCTTGTAATTTTTTTACTTTTGGTTTTCTTTTGATTCTGTCATAGGCCATTATATAGTTCTCATAGAGTTGATCTAGTGGGATATTATTTTCGTAACATTTCTCTAATAGGCATTTCTCTAATGGTGAATATCTGATCAGTCGTTGATCTGTTTTGTGTGAATCCACATTGGTAGCCACCTAGTATTTGTTCAGTGCACAGTTGTAGTTTAGGCAATTTGTTTTGTCAGTATTTTGTATGCTGTTTCCCATTCTGTTGGAATTTTCTATTCTTGTCCAATTTTAGTTATAAGTTTATGAGTGCTTAGTTCTCTTCCTCCATATTTAATGAGTTCTGCTGTGATGATGTCTTCTCCAGGGGATTTGCGGTTTTTCATAGAATTGATTACTTCTATAGTTTCTTCCAAAGTTGGGGAGTTTATTAAAGGGTCTGGTCCTCCTTGTGGTGGTTGATAATCTTTATCATGACCATTGTCTGCATTTAGTAAGCCCTCAAAATATTCAGCCCACCTCTCCAGTACTTAACTATTTTCTATAATTAATTCTGCATCATTGCTCGCACACATTTAAGGTCTAGCTTGGTATCCATTCTTTTCATCTTTTATCTTCATGTACATTCCTCTGATATTTCCCTCTTTTAATAAGTCTTTTATTTCTTTTAGTTTAGCTTTTCCCCACTCCCTTTTTTTCTTTCTTCACATTTTCATTTCTTTCCTTCTGGCTTCATTGTATATTTGTCTTGTAATTCATGCCTTGTTCCTTTCTTTGACAGTCTCTGCATTTATTATCAAACCAGCCTACGGTTAGTTTGCTAAAATCCTACTACTTTTTCTGCGGATCTTTTCATAGCATTTTTATATTATCCCACTGTTCACTTATGTTGTTTTCCCTGTTTATTGCCTCCTGTGATGCTTCTAGCTGTGCATCTACATCATTTTGATAAGCTTTTACGGTTGGTGGGTCTGTGGTAAGTTTTGGTAATCATATAGTTTTTCTCTTTGATTTAGACCATTATGAATTATTATTATAAGTAGTTTTATATAGAGTGGGCTCACCACACTTTTCATACAATTTAACAAACATGATCAAAAGCTTAAAAAGTTAATTAACATACATTAATTAAATAAAACAAAACAAATGTATATTTAAAAATTTTACATGTCAAGCCATGAACGACACCTAGCAGCATAGTTTTTCGGTCAGAGGTGGGAATCAGTCAGGATAGTAGAGTTTGAAAAAATGTGTTTTGAGTGCTTATATTTAATCCTTACAAGTACATGATCAGAGTCTGCGTCTGCTCATCGATAGCTTCTTACGTCTAGTAAGTCTGATCCATGCCCTTGATCCATTAGAATGTGGTCAATTAGGTTGTAAGTGATTCCATCTGGTGAGCTCCTAGTAATTTTATGTAAATTTTTGTGTGCTGCTAATCCTGTTCTGAGAGTGTTAGTGTTTTTTCCATTATAAAATATGGTGTAGTCTTTTGTCTTGAAAATGTCTGCATTTTTATTGATTGATTTTGGGCATTTTGCATTAAAAAGTTACTACAACACAGTGGCATAGCTAGATTTTTTGCTGCCCCCCTTCCAGAAAAAAACCCCAACCGGTCTGCAGTTGGCCAAAAAGCCACTCATCCATTCCATATAAAAAAAATTTTGTTAGCCTATTCATCAATCAAATTAAAATATTGCCTTTCACTGTCATAATTCATTTCAAGATTTCCTTTAAAGACTGATTTGTCAACATTTAAAAATGTAGCAAAATAAACTTGGAGGTCCCCCCCCACACTTCTTCTTTAATTAAAAATTTAAACAATTTTTTTTTACTCTAGCAGCATACTTTTCAGTTATTTTACAAATTAATTAATTACTTAATTTACAAACATTTTTTCAATGATGTTAAAAAAGTTATAATGAATTAAAGAACAATGTATGCTTGATATAATTTTTCCAGATATTTCTTTCAATATTTTATGTTCGCAAAGTGGTAAATATTGTTGACTTCTTTCAATGTTATATATTTTATCCTTCAGGCTTTTGTGAATATGCAGAAGTTAACCTCCACTTGGCGTCAACAAAAACCATCTTTTGAAATTCCTTCAGAGTCCATATCGAGTATCAAAGATGCTGGTCTTAAAGTGTCTCAGGGAAAAAGGCGATTGGGCAGGTTCCCTATATCTGCCACTTCTGTCATTGTTAACAAAAGTAACTGGGAAAAATCATCATTGCTTGTTGTAAGTTAAAAAGGAATAGTTATTTTCATAGCATTATTAATAGTTGAATTAGTCAAATGTTATGCTATTTAAACATCATTATGGCAGGGAGACACGATATGAATGTCCATGTGAAATAGTAATATTCATCAATGTAAATTCCTCATATGAATGTTCCATTAAATTGCTAACCTAATCTTTAAATCATGTAAATTTTAAGATAATTAAACTTATCAATGTAAAGCTAATTTGAAATATTTTATTAAGGAGAGCTTAATATCTTATATTTTGTAAAGAACATTTAAAAAAAAAAGAATATATTTTACAAATAAGAAAGTTAAAGTAACCCTTGATCTAAACATTATTATCCCAAGTATTTTAGCTTACAGTCATTCTTGTTATGTATTCTTCTAAACATATTTTGTCCACATAGGAACATAATCATTGTGCTGTTAAAGCAGATCTTCAAGCATCTTTTTCATCATCATTTTCTGCATCCTTGGATTCTGATCTGGTCTTGGAGGCCGAGAAGATTGAAGCGGCATTGAATGTCAAAACAAAAAAAGCAGACAGTAAATCAAAATCTGTCCCTGTTGTTGTTGAAGAGCCCTCACTGCGGCCACCAGCAAATATTTCAAATGTTAGAATCTCAGCCTTGGCCAATAACAGTCTTGACGTTTGTCTTAAAGAGGTCACCACACTCCACCAAAGAGCAGAAGACGTAAAGCAAGGGACAGGCAAACGCAAATATTTAAAAAGTACCCCAACTTCTGTAAGCGGTAAGAAACTCACTTCTATCAAGCCTTGTGCCTTTTCAGAATTGTCACATACCCCCACAAGCAGTCCAGTAGATAAGAGAATAAAGCATAGTGTGATAACTGAACACTTATTAAATGATGTACATAAGAACACAGATGTGCAGCCTTCTAAACACAGTGACTTTGAGATGAAGACTCCTGTGTCTAAACAAAAAGTCAATCTTTTGTCCAAGGCTAATTCTGCAGAGAAACTTAATATTTCCAACATAAGTTTCTCTCCGCTGTGCTCCACCCCTGGCGGCAGTGCAGAGAATGTGTGTGACTTGAATATAATGGATGAGGAATCCTCAGAAATAAACGTTTTAGTTCGTAGAAATCTAAATTTTAGAAGCTTTCAAAAAGACAGTCCCTCCAATAAAGTTTTATCCAAAACAACCACGGGTGCCAACATGATCCAAGTGAATAATAGCAAACTTACATCTATTGAACCTGAAGTGATCCATCATTACGACTCTACAACAATAATAAATAGCAGTAATTCCCCCTTATCTCACTCACATTCGAATGAAAAATCTGGCAACAGTAGTTCTACAGTGAAGACAACAATCGCTAAGAAAAGATCCAGCCCGTACCTCGGCAGTTCTTCCCCAGTTGTCACTATTACAAGAAGAGGGAGAAAGTCCACGTTGGGGTCAAGCTCACCCAAAAAACCCACACAAGATGAAACAGTTATTAAGAAATCAGCTAACAATAATAGCACCAGCATAAAAAATACATCAGTTAAGATACAGAGTAAAATACAACCTGCTTCCACCAGTGTAAGTAAAATACAACCTATCTCAACCAGTGTAAGTAAAAAAAGACCAAGTTCAAGAACTGTGAGGTCAATGAACTCTGTTGAAAAAATAAACCTTTCTCCACAAAATGACAAGCATTCACAGGGAAATGCAGATTTAGTGCCGAATGGGAAAGGAAGCAAGACAGAGACGGATTCTGAGAAAAATCTTGGTGCTTCAAGTGTAATTTCCACTAGCTTTACTTTAGAAACTTCAGGTAAGCATCAACTATATTAAATTATAAGATATAATATAATATAAAATATATTTTTTAATAAAAATAAAAGTAATAATTTAAATTCATTTTTTAATACTTCGGTATATTTAAGATGGCTGCAAATGGCGGAGCTGCATGTCTGTGTCCATTTTGACTCATTTCTATTCGGATGTCATTTGTGGTAGTTTATTTAGTTAAACTGAAGAATTAAGTTTACAAACACATAGTCCATTCAATTATCTTTCATTTGATACCTCATTTTGTCTTACAAACCCAACAATAAAATTTTAAATAGTGTTTTAATCCCAACTTCTCACTTCTGGTACCAGGGTACGAATAGCCACTTTGATTTGAGTTACATATTAAAAAATAAGTTACATATAAGTTTGTTTTTTATTTCTTATAGTTTTTTGATTCAATGCAACTTACTAGTGGATAATTTCTCTCTCAACAAATAGCTCATCATCTACGAAATGCCTAGTAAAATATAAATTATACACATTTCTTCTGCTGTAGTGAATACAAGTTTAACTCAAGACAAAAGACAGCTGAGCTCGTGGGGCTTACCTCACCCAGTTTTAGAAGCATATAAGAACCAAGGGGTGACCACTATGTTTGAGTGGCAAGCAGAATGCTTGCTCACTGCTCAAGTTCTTGGTAATCCGATCCAAAACCTACAATAACTTTACAATTAATTACATGAATAAAGAGAAAAAAATTGTAGGTAATAAATATTAATAACAATTTAGTGACATTACTTCTTGTCTGTAACAATCATCTGAAGCATTTTTTCTAATTCAAAGAGAACAAAATGAATACAACTGATTAACTATGATTTTCAGAGGGAGGTAATCTTGTTTATTCTGCCCCAACAAGTGCTGGGAAAACTCTTGTTGCAGAGTTACTTGTCTTGAAAAGGGTTGTAGAGACTAGAAAAAAGGCGCTCATAATTCTTCCCTTTGTGTCAGTGGCAAGGGAGAAGATGTATTCACTCCAAGTAAGTCTGCAATTTTTTATAGGTTATAATAAGTCATTAACTTCAACAATTTGTCTATGAAATTTAAGAGAAAACATAGTGATGTTTTATGAACTCTTATTAACTTTGCTTTTTTTGTGTATTTGCCAGCGTCTCTATCAAGATGCAGGGATAAGGGTTGGAGGCTACATGGGAAGCTACTCACCAGCTGGTGGCCTGTCTTCTGTTGATGTTGCTGTTTGCACTATAGAGAAAGGAAATGGACTCATCAACAGACTTATGGAAGAAGGAAAGCTGGGGGACCTGGGTAAGCTCAACACTGCAATGCACTACTCGGCACAATTTATTTTGAGACTACTCTTGATTTAGAAGACATGGAAAAGATAATGCACAGTGTTTTTTGAGATTAGTTATGTGTAACCGAGGTATAGCACATAGACAATTATCAATACCAATTAATTCTTTAATAATACAAACACCCATCCAGAATGAACATTAAGAATGAACAGATCTCGTTAAAACCTTGTTCACATTGCCAGGAGCTGTTGTTCTGTCTGGCAAGGAAGGCTCTTAGCTGTAACATTCTTCTCCTATTGTCCTGTCTTTCTGATTCAAGCTTCCAGATACCTTGTTCTACTATTTCCTTTACATTTCCAGGAGCTGTTGTTCTGCCTGGCAACGAAGGCTCTTAGGTGTAACATTCTTCTCCTATTGTCCTGTCCTTCTGATTCAAGCTTCCAGATACCTTGTTCTACTATTTCCTTTACATTTCCAGGAGCTGTTGTTCTGTCTGGCAACGAAGGCTCTTAGCTGTAACATTCTTCTCCTATTGTCCTGTTGTTCTGATTCAAGCTTCCAGATACCTTGTTCTACTATTTCCTTCACATTGCCAGGAGCTGTTGTTGTTGATGAGCTGCATATGGTCGGTGACTCACACAGAGGTTATCTGCTGGAACTGATGCTGACCAAGCTGGCCTATATCACACACAGGTAACACGTATGGGAACGGCTGTGGG